GAGTGACAATGCTGAGGGCTCTGAGTGACAATGCTGGGGGCTCTGAAAGTCCATACTGGGCTCTGAGTGACAATGCTGGGGACTCTGAAAATCCATCCTACTACTGCATCTACCTGTGCAGTGCACAAATTACTTATGCAAACTGAAACTTTTATTTCAAAAACTCTCCACGATTGCATTGCGGCATCAAACTTCAGAGTAGAGGTTCTTCTAATGTGGTATTTTCACTGAATTTGTGCATGCAGGCAAGGCTGTTGAAGATCTGCTGTTGAAGGTGGTGTGAGGATATTCACATGTTCTGGCAACTTGTTGATTTTCTTGGTATGGTTGATGTTACCAATTTTCAGGGTACTCTTGAAACCAAGCTCCTTGCTCGATCTGGCTTGTGCAACTCGTCGATGGCAGATGCATGCAGTGTTTGGCGAGCCCTGTCACCATCTCTACGTGGCGAGTAAGTAGTTGTGCTCTCTATCTGTTTAGGTAGTTGAAACAAGCAGAGAACTATACTCTCTGAAGAGTGTACTATGCGCTGAGGAAGAGCTTATTCACACAGCAAGGGAAGAGAGAAAGAGTCTCTCTACGTTATGTTGAAGAGGTCTATAGTTCAACTTTGTTCTGCTTTACGTATGTCCTATATTTTACCCGTAAACCATTCCCAGTGCAGAATTGTGGCGGAGTGTCACATACTCTCCACGGTGTGATGCTGATTTTCGTCATGCGTGCCCGATGATCGAGGGCAACTGATGGTGTGGTGCTGGTACGCTTTGCTTTCCTGCAGCACTCAGAGCAGCACGTTCAGCACTACCGGCATACATCGCCAATGTGATCTGCAGCACGTGGATGATGTTATGGTGGAGTGCAATATGATCATATCTCGCACAAGGTACTCTCAGTAAGAGCTTCCGCCCACTAAGAACCTGAGCTATATACAGGGTCTTCCCCGCTCCACACTAGTGCTCATCAGTATGTTTATGTGGTCTCGTTGATACATGTCGGACAGTCCTACTTGAAAAAATTGAAGAAAATATTTGAAAACATTTTCAAAACATGTTTTGGTTTACAGGAGTACAGTGCGTAGCAGCATTGGAGCTAGCATTGCTAATAGAACCGCCTTAGATTCAAACTCAGTATACAGAACTTAAACCTCGTTTAAAGCGTATAAGATACATCATGGGACGGAAGGAAAAGAATTTGAGAGCCAGTTCGAATTGTGTGCCTTTGTGTGCGTAGATTAATTATCAGCCTATATACCCACTGTACTGACTGTTGCCTGATGATTGCCAGATCATGAAACTTGAAGTAGCAGCAAACAAGCCCTGATTGTCCCTGTTGTTCTGTTCTGTACCCACTGCAATGTTAATTTATTCTACGTTTGTCTGCTATCCATGTATTTAACCGCAATAGGTCTCTGAGGAACTGCACCAAGCGTTCCGATAACAGAGTGGTGCCTTGCTGTGACCTTCGGAATTCCAATTGCACGACTGACGACGGGGATGATAGCTCTGGAGTTTCTGTGGCCACTATCATTTCCATTTCTGTCTGGATGGTCATCATTTGCGCCTATCCTTTCATGGCTGCTCTCAACAAGTTTGTTCATAGCGAATGGAACTGTTGTCGTAGGAATCGCAGAAGCAGGTAACAACTTCAAGTGCTACTGTATAAGCAGAAATATTCGTCTGGAATTTAATTTCGTCTTTTCGTCCAAGGAGCTTTTGGACTAAATTAAATGCCGGACTAATGTCGATTTGTCCAGCTTTTCAATTCACTCTTATGATCCATGGACGAAATTTACAACCGGACGAACTCCCTTTCTTCGGAGTTGGACGAAATTATTGACCGACGAAATTTTCTGCCTGTACAGTATGTTTGTAATGTTACTGGAGTGATCAGTGTTAGTGTGTGAGTGTGTGCATACTAGAACAGTGGAGATGGATATAACGACACTCCTTCGGGAGAAAACGAAATGTCGCTATATTCGATCTGTCACTAAACCCGATCTTCACATTTAGTATGCAATATGTGCATGTATATCAAAATGACAGAAATGTATTGCAGGTATGCATGTGCATAATATAATGCATAGGTGCGTGTATGTACATGTATCTTGCGTGCATAGTTCAAGCCAAAAGTCATGCATAGCAACTACTAGGTACACCGCTGCACTGCGGCTACAATGTACAATACACAATGACCAGAATGCATGGAGTGACCCAGAGGTCTGGGAATGTGACACAGACATGTCCCATGCATGCCACTTCGCTAGATACAAGAGGAAAGTCATTATATTCGATGCATTTTCACGCCTTCCGGCACCAAAAAAGTGTCAGTAAATTCGACCTGTCGTTATTTTCGAGGTCGTTATACCCGATATAATAATGTACAGAAAGGACTTACTAAACGACTTGGGCAACAGAATTTTGTCGCTAAACTCGTTATATCCAAGTTTGTTATATCCAATCCCCACTGTAGTCACACTGGGCTCTCTCCCTAACAGGGACTCACAAGTTAGGTACCGTATAGTTTAAGAATGCGGAGAAGAAAGATGGCACAAAGTGACTCCGAAGACTAAATGAAAAGATGAGGAGCTTAGACGGACTGAACTAAAGACTGAGCTGATTCGGAGGTGATTGAATAACTGAAAGATAGATGTGTACAAGAGAAAGAAGTCCCGTTACAGCTGGAGCTAGCAGACTATGAATGGCAGCGAAAGACAATGGCAGTTACACATCACTGGTCACATTGTCGAGAAAGATAAATGCGGCTACTATCAGTATAACATGAACACTAGGAGCGATTGTGGCACATTGTGGTTTGTGTTACGGGGGACACTATCTTGTACCTGATTTTGCTCCACATTTTGTAAAAATGTACATTGATCTTGTGCATGCAGAACCAGAAATGTACGCGTAACAAGAAATGGCAATGTGAATAGGTCCAGACCGTCCACTCAACCTACAAATGAAGTGGAGGTTGAACTGGAAGATTACGGCAGCCGGGAACTTACCAACGCACCACCGCCCAGCTACAATATTGCCCTGGAAACTACATTACCGACTTCATCACCAACCAATAGTATTCCGGTAAGAGTTTTTCAAGTTCCACACCCATGCCTCTTGAATCCAGCACCGTCCCCAATCCAGAAGAAGTCTGTCAAACAGAGGTTGCCGGATTGAAGAGGTCTAACTGTATTTTCTCCTAGACAGACCCGTCCTGTTTCAGACAAATGAAACATCATGAATCCCAGGATGGCTGTTATCACTGCAGTAGAAAGATTCTCCTTTCTGCCATGTACTCCCTCTTCCCTTCTCTCGTGACATTTGACCCCACCAGGCTCCCCTCGTATTCTTTAGGAGATTCCCTTTGATAGGCAGCTGGTTGCCTTTCAGGAATCCTTGACATAAAATGTCAATGAGTGTCGATATGTACAGTCATGTGCATAGCACAGAATTGTCTGTAGGAATGAATTTGAAGTGTTGTTCGTATGAAGATCCCTTCTCAGTGTAGTTTTGTGCTTCTTTTATTTATGCAGTCCCCGGAACCTGGTTCATACACGCGTACCAACAACACTAGCCTATCTGTTGGCTTTGACGACGCCACTGAGCCGCCGCCTGGATTTGATGAAGTAGCGGCAATGCCTCCGCCGTCGTATGATGAACTGGGAACGTAGCCGTGCGTATGCGACGAGTGCAAGACGCCAGGCTGTGTTCAGGTGTTCCAACCCGGTTATGTATTTAGTACACCCGTGTTCTGTTGAGCTGCATCTGCGCCTTAGATCTTTGCAGGGTGGTGGTGTACCTACGGAGGCTGAAAACTCAGTTTAACTGAGTCTCAGCCAGCCGTGAATTTTCTATTGATTTTAGACTTAAAACTGCCAGTTGAGAGTAGGATATGGCAGAGCATAGTAGTTAGTTTGACTCAGACTGGGGAGGCCACTGCAGGAAGTGGCTTGCTCCACATTATAGCCGCGGGTGATGTTGAGTCCACGCTAGTGCCGATGTCAATTTGTAGTGCTGACGTTAGCGCTGATGATAGTGGCGATAGATGGTAGTGGCTTCTGCAGGGTACAGAGGAACTACCAGGACAATTTACCACCTCGAAAAGCAGGACTTTCTTGAGTATGTTGATTTTGATCCTGTGTCGCCAACACTAAAGTCATCTTTTTATGACCTTCTGTTGTGTTTTTCCTTGTGTCTACCGGTATGCAGTTCATGTTGGGCAATAAAAAAATATCCAAAATTGCTATTGATAAGTAAGCGATTTTAACTGTAGTCCATCATGATCTGCAAGTGTCTGTATTCATCACTGTACATATGCCCTATCAGTATTCCGAATCACCACTGTACACGTATCATTTACACTGTCATTTACACTGTTGATTGTCTTCTTGTGGAGTCGTTACCTTCAACTAATAATTATATTCTCGTCATAGAGTTTACGTTCAGATTTTAGAATGTTGAAAACACTCAGTCTGCGGACAGAACTGTTTCGTCCTTTGTGGACTCATCAGCGCAGCACAAAGGAAATGAGGCAGGAACCCAATAGCAATAAAAATTAATTTTCCAAAGCCAGAGTTAAACCAGGCCCGAACGTACCTTGCCAGAGTGCTCACTCTAACAAGTCAGTGAATGTTGAAAACATTAATGTTAGGCATTACGATGAGATCAGAACTATTTCTTGAATCTGTAGAGCATAAAACACAGGTACAGCTGCCAATGTTGATTGTAGCAAGTACATCTGCTTTCCATCTTTTTTGGCAACACACCACACTATCTGTTACGTGGAGCGTTTGGGTCGCAATGAAGCCGAGACCCTATGGTCGGTCGACTCTGCCCCTGTCTGCCCCCCACTCCTTCCATTCAATATGTCTCATCGCTGCCTTGCTGCTTTGTGCCGTCAAATGGTGTTTTTTTAGTAAATAAAAAAAGAAACTAACATGCTCCCACAAATGCCGGACCAGAATATCAACACACTGCCAGTGTCAGAAACTCCACTGGACCATGTCAAACCGAGACCTATGCCACGATCTTCTTCTTTATGTCACAACAGCTCTGGGCCTGCAGTTCCAGACCGATCATTCGAGTCCGAAACCGTCTTGACAATGTGATAAATTATCAATGCTATAGTGTATAATGTACCGTTCTACAGAATTACCAACTGTTAAAGAGTGCATGAATGTATACCAAAGGCTTGCATCGTAAATTACGTAATCCACAAACAGAGAACACGCGTACTATGAAGTACACAATCATTTATTCACTGAACCTGGAATGGTGGAAGGACGGCAAGTAAGGAACTGTCAAGCCCTCTGCAGTGTGCTGTTAAGTTGCATGTACCAGCACTCATGAATTAGAGATATGTCATGTAGCGATGTGCTTGTGCTTGCAACAGAATGATACAGATGATACAACGATGCGCGGAATCTACAACATCTGTGGCGAAACTAGTACTATGTGGCCATTACAAGAAAGAAGCATGCAAACTTGAAACGAGTAGGATGTGCATGTGGAAGGAATGATCAGCTCAGTGACGAGATCTGTCCATCGTACAATTCATTCTTTGCCTTGTACCTCTGGATATCCCTGGCTGCACACTTAGTATTTGCTACAGTCACGCGACGAGTACTGGGTGCACTGAGAGTCACTCGTCTGCTCCGTGACGTCGGAAGTCTTCAGGCCGCCCACTGAAGTAGCATGAAATAAGACAAAGCACACAGAAGTATTCAAGAATACCATCACGCTGACTGCCGCTAGCAACTCTTACAGTTGATGAGACTCACCTGCCTGTAAGGCAGTGTGACCTGGTTTAGTCTTCACCCAGAGATTTTACCATGGGCACAAAAGGAAAGACTCAAGGCGCAAGTCCTCTCTATCATGAATGATTCTAGGCTATTACATTCACTACCCGTACATATGAATGTACCCGCATTACTAATGGGTCGGAGAAACCTTGATAAGGGACCACTTGACTCCGGAGAGAATGATTAGCCGGTCCCATGACCTGATGACACGGCCTTGAAACCAGGTCTGTCTGACCGTCACCAGTACATGCAGTGTACAAGGAGGTGGCTGCAGCCTGCAGTAGTGAATGTCTTTGAATGGATGATGCATGGAGAACACATAAAGGGTGCCGCTGCTCTACAATATGCGGATATATGTACACGCGGACATACGAAGTACGTATATGCTGCTCTGCTGCTCTGTAGAATCTTTCTATGTGTAAGTGTATTATAGTGTAGCTGCGGGTCCATGAAACCACTGAACAGTGCACAATGCTACATTGCTGTGTAGTCTAAGCATTACCAGTGATACGAGGTATGCATGAAGGGTTATGCATGAAGGGTTATGCATGAAGGGTTATGCATGAAGGGTTATGCATGAAGGGTTATGCATGAAGGGTTATGCATGAAGGGCTATGCATGAAGGGCTGCATGAAGCTGTGACTCACCAGTTAGGAGGTTCTCCAGGTTGCAGTAGTTTGTGCCATCATCCAGATACGCATACCATGTCTCAGATGTTGAAGCAGCCTGCACGCACGCATACACACACAAACATGTACACACACACACACACACACACACACACACACGAATGCATGGGAACACCCATCCACACAAGCACATACAAAAAGGAACAATTATAATTTTGTTGCCGCCTTACCGGTATATTTCGGTAGTGGAAGTCCAGTCTAGGCCAGCGAAACCCAACATTGTAGATTAAGCATCCTATGAACTGTAAAGCCCTAGTATGATGAACATAGGGCTATGTACTGTGCACACCTGTGCTGTATTTATGTAGTCAGATTTCACTTGCTGCATCCAATGCCATTCATATTGGCCGTTTGCCTCCGACCATTGAGAGAAAGAGAGAGAGAGAGAGAGAGAGAGAGAGAGTGTGTGTGTGTTTGTGTGTGTTTAGACTAGGCAATGTACACGTGGCTGAGGTGGAGTGTGCGAGTTCGTAGTAACTCAGGTTGTGCTATATTTGATTAGATCTTTAGCGTAGACCATAATTGTTACACATATCTGGCAAGCAGTTGCTACATGTGAAACCCTTTCTCAGAGTCGTGATAGAAAGCGAATCATGGGAATGCAAGAATGGTACATGGCAATGCATGCATCACAGTGACCTAACATAAGGAACAGCATGAATCAGCACAACAATTGGTGAATGCAAACTTGATAGCGTACCTTCACACTGCAGCCGGATCCTGATGCAGAAAACGTGATGGTCAAGTCATCCTTGTAGTGCTTTTTTGGGGTCTCATGCTTGAGTGTCATCTTAGATGCAGAGTGAGATTCAACCTGATAAACGTTGCCAGAAACAACAGACAACCCGACACGCAGACAAGGCAGTAAGCATACCTCATTGCTCACCCACATTGCAAGGAGGCACAGCTCCTGCATAATTCAAAACAATCCGGCATTGTTTGCAGTGCACTTGTAAATATGATCATCAAGCAGGATTTCCAGCACTGGAAGTTCAAATCAATCTGGCTTTCACTCGCCGCACAGTCCTGGTAAAAATGATGAGCTCAACTTCTGCCAACTCATGATGTTCCACCTAGCCAACACGCTAAATTTCCTCTGCTACATATTACTGCTGTGTAAAACCAAAGTGGCAAATAGGTCCACTGAGAATCATTGCAGGACTGCCGCTCTTGATCGGTTCCCATTCCATGGCCTATCATACTCAGTTTGTGTATGGACATGGCAGGTACACATGACCTCCTTGTCAGCAGTAAGCACACGTTGGTGGCCAAAAGATGGTCCGGCGATGACCTGGGGATGCTTTGAATTCCATTCACAGCTGCTAGCCCGTTTGCCCCGGAATCAAGATACCTACTCACCGTGTACAAGCACTTCTCGCTGCCATCGTCACATCCCGTTGTTCCCTGCATCTTGTTTGCAGCTGCGTACAGAGCCTCATTGACTTTGTCACATGATGTAGTTGCAAACGTCCTGATAGGTTCAGCAAACAAGAAGCAAAAGATGATTTTTTTTAGGGGAAGCATACCCTGAAATCAAATTTTCACCAGTTGTAGTCTTCGGGGTGCTGAGTCGAATGGTCTTGGTCCGAGGAAGCTGAGACGCTCCCGTCCTCCTTTAATCCCAATCGAACTCACGCACTTCCACCGAAACTGGGTGACTGCGCCCCTACTTGATGGGGATTTGAATGCAAAAGGTCACTAAAAGCCCCATTTCGTTCTCATAAAAGCACGGGTGACCGCGATTGGTCCATATGTGTTGTAGTCTTTTGGCCGCTGAGTCGACTGGTTTTGGTCCGAGAACGCTGCAATGCAGCGTTCGGCACTTATCCCCAAACAAACACGGGTGAGTAAGTGGTCACGTGCTCCTGCGTACACCAGTCACCGTGCTCGCATGGCCCCGCAGGCTACAACTTTTACAGCGTTCCTGTCACTCGAGTTGAACCTTTGAACCTTTGAGTTGACCATTGATGTAAAAGTTATAGCCTGCAGGCACGGTGACCAGGCGACTGGTGTACGCACGAGCACGAGACCTCTTACTCAACCATGTTCGATTGGGAATAAAAGCCGAGTGTTGCATCGCAGCCTTCTCGGACCAAGACCAGTCGACTCAGTGTCCAATAGACTACAACATATGGACCAATCGCGGTCATCCGTGCTTTTATAAGAACAAAACGGCAGTGCAGTTACCCAGTTTCGGTGGAAGTGCGTGAGTTCGATTGGGAATAAAGAAGGAAGGGAGCGTCTCAGCTTCCTCCGACCAAGACCATTCGACCCAGCACCCCGAAGACTACAACTGGTGAAAAATTGATTTTAGGGTATACTTCCCCTTTAATAGCTAGATACAAAAGCAAGAATTGGAACAAAGTACAGAAAGCAATATGATGGAAGAAAATGACGTTCTAAACACTCTAGTGCTCCCCTCCCTTTTCTTTTTCGTGTTTAGACTCTCTACCTCTTCCACTATCGATCTGGTCCGCTATGTTATTCTCGCCAAACAGGTTGCCTATGCTAAGGGGCTGATATCCGTCACTTATCGATTCTCAGCTGAACTTGGACTTGAAGAGTTCGTGCTGGTGTTAGTTCGCTTTACTTGTCAAAAATAGACCACTTGCCATTTTGAAATTCATCTTCTCGAAACCATACTAACTCTTTCTCAACCACGAAATCTACACAAGTAAGTAATAGTTATCGGAGTTGTACAGGCTGGCTCAGCAGGAACGGACCAGAAGGGAGGCCGTCCTTAGTCCTATTCCATGTTGTAGGCCAGAAGGTGCGGTATGGTGGTGCCGCCTGAGAAGTGAGATTTAAAGCGAGATTGTTATGAGTTATCATGGTTATTGGCACTGGCAAGCTACATAATCATTGGATGCAGATCACGAAGCAACCATCGCGTGAAAAGTGACGGTTTGAATTCGTCGTGCATCAGTGTTAGTGACACAAATCCCCTACAAACTTCCTTCGCAGTTGCTATCTTTAGTACAGTTTCAAGCTAGAACATGTTCGCAGGGCAGATACGCTAACACGAATTCCTCGTCAATGCTCGCACACTAGCAGGCGATGCAATACCCGACTCGCTGACCAAACATCCAGTCGGAAAACTACCTCTTAGGCTCTTGAGTTCTTACCACTGAATGTTACAGGACGCGTGGATAGGGTACTGAAGTGCTGGCAGCGCTGCACTGAGACCAATCACAGATAGGATGAGTAAGAACTGAAGGGACGCCATCTCGGAATTCTCCAGGAAACTAATTGTATCAAGAGTAGAGAGTGAAACGAAGCTAGGTTCAGAATCTTTTCACTTCACAAACGCAACTGTGCCGAGCAATGAAAATATCTGTGGAGTCCTTCGTCGCATCGATGCATCTATGATCTACCACTTGTGTCGGACCATGTACCTGTTCACCATGTTCGCTGCAAGGGTAGATCAACCAGATCAGACTTCGCCAAGCATGCCGCGAGTTGACCGTGGTTGACGGTCAGTGGCATCAGTGTACGTAAATGTAGATAGACTGAGTGAGTCTGTGGATGTGACCTGGTGGTGACTCCGCGGTTGTAAGTCTGGCGAGCATAAACGATTGTAAACGGACCTAGCACTTCTAGTACCGGACCAGTGGCAGTGAGGGATGGCACACGAAGGCCATGTGACGGATAGGCGTCATTGCCGCGTCAAGCGCATACGCCAATGAATGGCTACAAGTAATACTACTAATACTCAGTAATAGTTGTAGTGCAAAAAATGTCTAAGGCCGTTGACGTATCATTATTTTGTGGACGTCTTCGGTCACCCTTGTCCTTGGCCTTACCTTAGACTTAGTTAGGCCTTGCTACGAAGGACTATCCACTGACGAGCACTGCAATAGTGCGTATGTGTGTGTGTGTTTTGTGTGTGTGGAGTCATGTCAACGCAATGGCACGTGGTTGGAAAATGACGATGCAAGCTCGTGGTGTGCCAAACCTTTGACAGATGTCAACCACAGTTTGATCGACCTGAGCTACCAAGGCAAGGGCAAGAATATTGACAAAGCCCCATCCAGATTCGCAGTGGACGTAGGCCGCATACCGGTACGTACGTGGACTCACTGCCACTGGTAAGTGTTTCATACATGCATCATCTAGCAGGTATTTGACTGCAGTTACTGCACAACTGGCGTGGGTGGAGTGCGTAGAGCAATTATTATTTTAAAGGGGAAGTTAAGGCAAAAATTAAAATTTCACCAGTTGTAGTCTTCGGGGTGCTGAGTCGAATGGTCGTGGTCCGAGGAAGCTGAGACGCTTCCTTCCTACTTGAATCCCAATCGAACTCGCGCACTTCCACCGAAACTGGGTGACTGCGCCCTACTAGATGGGGATTTGTATGCAAAATGTCACTAAAAGCGCCATTTCGTTCTTATAAAAGCATGGATGACCGCGATTGGCCCATATGTTGTAGTCTTTTGGACGCTGAGTCGATTGGTTTTGGTCCGAAAAGGCTGCGATGCAGCGTTCCTCCTTTATTCCCAATCGAACATGGTTGAACAAGCGGTCACGTGCTCCTGCGTACGCCAGTCACCTGGTCACCGTGCCTGCAGGGTACAACTTACTAGCCTGTTTGACCTTTTTTGGGTGCAATCCTGTCACTCGAGTTGAACTCGAGTTGAACCTTGGTGTGAAAGTTGTCGCCTGCTGGCGTGGTGACCAGGTGATTTGGGCACCCAGGAGCACGTGACCGCTTCTTCAACCATGTTCGATTGGGAATAAAGGAGGAACGCTGCATCGCAGCCTTTTCGGACCAAAACCAGTCGACTCAGCGTCCAAAAGACTACAAAATATGGGCCAATCGCGGTCATCCGTGCTTTTATAAGAACGAAACGGCGCTTTTAGTGACATTTTGCATACAAATCCCCATCTAGTAGGGCGCAGTCACCCAGTTTCGGTGGAAGTGCGCGAGTTCGATTGGGATTCAAGTAGGAAGGGAGCGTCTCAGCTTCCTCGGACCACGACCATTCGACTCAGCACCCCGAAGACTACAACTGGTGAAATTTTAATTTTTGCCTTAACTTCCCCTTTAAAAATGTTTAGTCATAATCAGGGAGTAGTAAAATGCTGGAAAAGGACATTCCATAATCCTGATTTTACTACTCCCTGGTTAGAAGCTATACCTTCCGCTCTATCAAGTTTAAAATCTTTACGGGCAAGGGTATGGACACATTTTCCGCCACACTGGACAATTCCGCAGTCAGCCTTGACCATGCCAGTCAATACTTCGTGGTGCATGATGTAGCCCAGTTGCTTGGCTTTACCATGCACCAGGCGCGTGCGCCGGTGGCCTTCAAGGGAGGGGGGGGGGGGTTGCGGGGGGCCTCCCCCGGGAATATTTTCAAAAAATGAAGCAATTTTGAGCGAAAAGGGGGAGGGGGGTTCCGGGCACCCAGGAACCCATACGGGGCACGCGCCTGTGCACTGATGGCGTGATGCAGTAGCAACAGAGCTACACATGCCTCAACCGTCTGGAACAGATGTAAGACAAGCTAGCCAACCATGCAGGGATGTGTGAGTGGTTGGGGGGGGGGGGGGGGACGTATATTATATTATGGCAAATATGGTGACTAATCTACCTGCTAAGCTGATATATGGATACAGCCAATGGGATTCTCGGTCTTTGACCACTTCGGTGGCGGGTCTGATCTACTCCGGCGCCTTCCACCACATAAGGAGCTGCCCCATGATCTGTGCCTTGATCCTTGAGAACGGTGGTGTTAGCTACGCATGTGGACACCCCAGTCTCATTGAGTCCCAAGCGAACCGTGAATGTTCAAGCTGACTTGCAATTTGCGGACTTGCAAGTAACTGCATGTTTCTACCTAAGGCCACACTTTGTTTTTTCTATGTTTCTCGTCATCGCCCGCGTAGGTTTTCAGAAATTTCGGAAGAAGAAAAAAAGTTCATACAATATACATGTATGTGCGCTGCACATGCTGCAGCAGCTATTACTAGATGCGTCAATCAAAATCGTAAACGTTTGCAACACAGCAGCAAAGGAGCGCTCCTCGTCCGTTCTCTGCGATGAAGGCTGTCATGACGAAGCTTTCAGTCGTTCACTGCCTGAGCCTCGTGGGTCCCAGGAATACCGTAAGTCGGACGAGTTCCGTTGCAACTGGCGTCTGTGGAACGATGTCGTAGGCAGAAAATCCAAGCAATAGACGCATGGCAAGGAAAATATGAGCAGCATGGAGACAAGAGTTTGATAAGCGGACACAAGAACGTTGAAGTAACAAAACCAAAATTAATGACGAGTGGGAAACGTTTGTTGATGCGATAGCAGATAAATGTATGTTCTTTTCGCCATCTCGTAATCAAACTTTATGCTCTCAGCTCATTGTTGCAGTTTGCCTGATATTCGTGGGCTGATGTGATAATGTAGTGCAATCATGTATGGGACTACATGTACATGATTGTACAATGTAGTCCTGTATACATGGTATGCGTAGTGTCTGGTATGAATCACGCATATACATGTACATTGAAAAATGTATACAATTTTCAGTAGAAAGTGTTCTTGTTTTTTCCTTGGCTTTTGTTTTTTTTCCGCCCGCCCGCGTACCTTTTGTTAAAATTTGCCGACGAGAAACATAGAAAAAACAAAGTGTGGCCTAAAAAGCAAATACCTCCATGTACATGTACGTGCACTTCATCAGATATGTCATGTACATTGTGCATGTGCATGTACGTACAGGGCAGTAAACAGTGCACATGTGTACATCCGATGTTCTGCACAAGTAAAGCTGACAGTGAGACTTGGGACCATTAAAAATATCATGAAAAATGTCATTACACTTTGACTAATTTAGAACACCAAAGTGGCGAGTGTGTGGATGAGCGTTATGACTAGATGCTGTACTAGTAATAGCTTGGGCAGCATGCGATTCTGTTCTCTGTGTTTTTTCATTAGCGTGATAATTTTAGTGAGACAACCCATTAGCCAAACTATTCCACTTTCACTATGCAACCCCGCTAGAGGTTGAGAGTGAAAGAAATCGGATGTACATTGACTTTTCCAGACCAACATGCACTCTAGGTAGGTGTTAGTTTGCTTCCGAGTTTAGTCAGGCACTTGAAGTAGCGAAACAGCTGCATGACTGGATGGTCTCATAATGCTGATGTATCTCAATGGAACTGTTGCGATGTTGCCAGTTTTATGGTTCAGACAGTGTGCGCACCGAAATCAGTGCAGGTGGCGCGTACATGTACATTGTATGTTTGAACCATACACAGTCTACGTACCTGCGGAGGCGCTGGGTCTGCATTCCCACTTGCTCAACTCTAGCCATTTTGTTGCTGTTGTCTGTTATCTTTACTTCAAGGCAAATACACGTATGCCTTCTTACCATACCGAGGTGCAGTTCCTACAAAATGATGAAGCCTGTTATGCAGCATAGTTTATATTATTTAGGGCGGCCCGTATGTAAAGAGCGAAATACATTTTTCAAAGCAGTATTTTGTAATTTGGGTTGTGAGTAGACCATACATGTACATAAACATGTACGTGTAGGTACATGGATAAACCTTGTTTTGTTGAAACATGTTGTTGGTTGACAGCATGTAACAACGATAGTGACTAGTACTTCGAAGGACAAGGCGGAGAGCCGGAACGCAGAAAAAAAATAAAAATAAAAAAATTATAAAAAACAAAAAAACTTCGAAGTAAATGGTAGAGGAGACAATAATTTGATAACCGCAATCAATAAAACTAGCTGAACCGACATTTGTGTACTTTATTCATGCAATGTAAAAACTGTGGAGACGATGTGCAATAAAACGATGAAAATATGAAGAAATGGTGTAGGGAAAAAAATATGGATTCAAACAAGTTTTCGTACAACACTCATCAGGAATCGTCGTTGTACTAAAGGACACTGAAACAAAAATTGAACTATTATAGAAAATCTAAGTTAGAGAAATAACACTAAGAGCAACAACAGTGAAATTTACAAGTGTGAATTTTAACAATCAAAGCGAGAAATGAACAAAGGAGAAAAGAAGGAAAGACAACGTGATAACACATAACAGCAGTACATTACACCTAGAACATTAACGGCCAAGCTTGGCCGCACTAAACACGACACGTTACTTGAACAATTTCAACCCAATTATACTATCTTTCTGTACACACAAATTAGGCTTGTACAGACGCTGATAGATAGCTTCCAACACTTTTAACTGTAGTCCATAACCATGACGACCACGGCACAATACAGTGAACGAAGAGTCGGAATACGAATTGCAACAATCAGGACTAGCTAGCAGATGATTGTAAACTGAAGACTTGCTACCACGAAACCTACGCACAACACTAACACTCTCACCGGCATTCTCACCATCACTCCCATCACTGCTCTCCGACTCACTGCTCCCTCCGCCGTCCGCTCCATCCTCCGCTTCCTCTGTACTCTCTCTGTCTCGTCCATCCCGCCTGACCGGGTCCATTGAACTCAACTCGGCCGTCACCCTGCTATCACGTCCCTCCTTTCGCCCTTGTCCGCTGAGTGCGTAGCTTCTGTTGTAGTTGGCTGTTGATCGTCTTGGTCTTTCAATTGTGGGCTTGGATGGTGGATTAGTTGTGGTTGCTGTAGATTGCGTTGTTGGTGTTGGTGTGGGAGCTACTGATATGCAAGGTGGGTCTTTTTGAGTCGGCATTTGTAGTGTTAATGCAGCTGTCAGTGTTGCTCGCGGTCTCCCACTGGCAAGCTCCACCGCCGCAAGAACCGATGGTGGAGGATCAGGAGGAGGCAGCGGGACCGGGACCGCAAGCGACACCGCCTCAGCCAAAGCCGCCGGGGGCACTGACGAGGGAACCACCGACCAGTGGGAACCAGTGGGAGACCGCGAGCAACACTGACAGCTGCATTAACACTACAAATGCCGACTCAAAAAGACCCACCTTGCATATCAGTAGCTCCCACACCAACACCAACAACGCAATCTACAGCAACCACAACTAATCCACCATCCAAGCCCACAATTGAAAGACCAAGACGATCAACAGCCAACTACAACAGAAGCTACGCACTCAGCGGACAAGGGCGAAAGGAGGGACGTGATAGCAGGGTGACGGCCGAGTTGAGTTCAATGGACCCGGTCAGGCGGGATGGACGAGACAGAGAGAGTACAGAGGAAGCGGAGGATGGAGCGGACGGCGGAGGGAGCAGTGAGTCGGAGAGCAGTGATGGGAGTGATGGTGAGAATGCCGGTGAGAGTGTTAGTGTTGTGCGTAGGTTTCGTGGTAGCAAGTTTTCAGTTTACAATCATCTGCTAGCTAGTCCTGATTGTTGCAATTCGTATTCCGACTCTTCGTTCACTGTATTGTGCCGTGGTCGTCATGGTTATGGACTACAGTTAAAAGTGTTGGAAGCTATCTATCAGCGTCTGTACAAGCCTAATTTGTGTGTACAGAAAGATAGTATAATTGGGTTGAAATTGTTCAAGTAACGTGTCGTGTTTAGTGCGGCCAAGCTTGGCCGTTAATGTTCTAGGTGTAATGTACTGCTGTTATGTGTTATCACGTTGTCTTTCCTTCTTTTCTCCTTTGTTCATTTCTCGCTTTGATTGTTAAAATTCACACTTGTAAATTTCACTGTTGTTGCTCTTAGTGTTATTTCTCTAACTTAGATTTTCTATAATAGTTCAATTTTTGTTTCAGTGTCCTTTAGTACAACGACGATTCCTGATGAGTGTTGTACGAAAACTTGTTTGAATCCATATTTTTTCCCTACACCATTTCTTCATATTTTCATCGTTTTATTGCACATCGTCTCCACAGTTTTTACATTGCATGAATAAAGTACACAAATGTCGGTTCAGCTAGTTTTATTGATTGCGGTTATTAAATGGTAGAGGAAGTACAATTGTACATGTACATGATTATTGTACCAACAGTCATGTTTTTGTTTTGTTTTTGGAGAGTATAATTTTTTTTGAAAAACGTTAAAATGTTTGGCACCTATGAAATTAGGGGATGGCCCACGCCTGAAAAAAAAACAATGAGGAGCTACAGTGAGAAAAACATGTACATTCATGTAGTACTGTACAATAGCACATCTTTACATGTATTTTGTAAATAATGATTGTGCGTGAATGCCATGCATGTACTGTTTGGACTGTTCAATGAAATCCGATCTCGTGAGTGTGAGAGTTGCGCCCTGCACCAGTTCGCATACCAGTGTTCGCAAGGCCAGGCCTGCAGATTACTGTCGTGGACATGGAAATCCGGTCGCACGTCTTGCGGCCACAGGGCGCTGGCCATGCAGCCGTAGCATGTATGCGCTGCTAGCTGCTGGTCGCATAGGCCAGGATCAACAATGATTGTGCACTGCATGCAACGACTTACGTTCTGTACGCGCTGAGGGCGCCGGCCCTGGTCAATCGACTGGATTTCCATGTCCGCGACAGTACAAGCTCGTAGATCTACTGTGGACTCGCTTGATCGGATTTCATTGAGCAGCACTGTACAATCAACTTCGCTTATAACGACACTCGGCATGGCATCAAAAAGGTGTCCTTATCCGCGAAGTGTCATTATACCCGAAGTCTCATTATGTATTACAGTGGGATGGGACTTTGCTCTGGGCATGGAAATTCTGTCGTTATTCGCGAATTGTCGTTATATCCGCAGTCGTTATTAGCGAAGTTGACTGTACAAATAATTCAATGATGTAGCAGTGTACTACTACTACTACTACTACTACTACTACTACTACTACTACTACTACTACTACTACTACTACTACTACTACCGTAAAGTACCGCCAGAGCGCCCCGTCTCGCGAGAGCGCCCCACCTTGATTTTACAGCCTGAGAAAGGAAAATCGTATGGCAGAGTGCAACGAAGTTTGTACGATGTGAGAATCTTAGTGTAAGGTCACGCTTGGCAGGGTTTTGTGTGGAGCTTGTGTCCGCTCGAAGGTACGGATTGACTGCAAAACGTGCAATATGTGTACAAGGTTCATGTCGTATGACCTACAGACAGCAGACCACCTCCACAATACGACCACGAAAGGATGAGATGGTGGGGCGCTCTGGCGGTACTTTACGGTACTACCAAGAGTACAATAAAACCTTTTTGTACTCTTGCTACTAGTACAATGTACTTACTAGATTGACAGCATGAAACAAGGTGGAGGACACCTGGACACTGTGTTCGGAAACAGTGACCTTACTACAACCTTCCGCGCGGTTGGCAGAGCCCGGTCCATTCGGACCATTTATAATACCATACTACTTACTCCCAGTGCTGCTCAATGAAATCCAGTCGCATCACTGAAGTTTGCGCCTGGCATCATTCCCCAGCCCAGTGTTCACAGGTCTAGGGCTGCGCAACACCCGGCGCGTACTTGAGTGACGACGTGACTGGATTTCATTGAGCAGCACTGTACTACATGTACTGTAGTAAGGGCGCGTTCAGACTACCGTGAATCCCGTCAAACCGTGAATGCCGATAAACCGTGAAGGACATTCACACTACCGATAACAAACTAACGTTACCGTGAAGTTTTATCGGTAGTCTAAGGGCGCGTTCAGACTACCGTGAATCCCGTCAAACCGTGAATGCCGATAAACCGTGAAGGACATTCGCACTACCGATAACAAACTAACGTTACCGTGAAGTTTTATCGGTAGTCTAAGGGCGCGTTCAGACTACCGTGAATCCCGTCAAACCGTGAATGCCGATAAACCGTGAAGGACATTCACACTACCGATAACAAACTAACGTTACCGTGAAGTTTTATCTAGGGGTGAAACGGTTCCATGTTTTTCATGTTCGGGTACCCGAATGCCAGCATAGTTTCCCACGGTTCGGGTATCGGTTCCATGCACTCTTTTCTCCAGACCGACCAAATGCGTCCGTGACAATTATTTTCAAGGTAGAAACCATTTTTACGAGCAAGAACGAGACATCGGAGAGTCCATGTGCGAAGGAGGTACGCTCGTAGTGACCAGGATCGATAGGAGAACCCTTTGGAAGGGCGGTGATCATAAGGTAAGACATTTAAAAATCTTGAGTAGACTTGGCGTGTACATGTATTTGTACGAGAAGGAGATTTTCGAGTTTCGGTTCGAAATTTGACGGAACGGGTACCCGATTCTTTTCAGCTGGCGGTTCCAAAACCGGTTCCTTACCCGAACCGTTTCACCCCTAGTTTTATCGGTAATCTAAGGGCGCGTTCAGACTACCGTGAATCCCGTCAAACCGTGAATGCCGATAAACCGTGAAGGACATTCACACTACCGATAACAAACTAACGTTACCGTGAAGTTTTCAGCTCTCACCGCGGCACTGACAAGGGATTTTCCTTTTTTTCCCAGCGCGCATGCAGCCTGAGCACTTTTTTTACTGCCGGTAAAAGTTTACTGCCGCAGCAGCCGCGGCAGTAAAACTTTTCCACCGGTAACGTGCCAGTAACGTCACGTGATCAAATCACCTTGGCGACTTTCCCAATCGGTCACTTTTTATCGGTAGTCTGAACGCGCCCTAACCAGAAACAGACTGTCAGGGTTGGCAAGCGCAAGACTCGACCTCGTGAATACAGCACTCGGCACTGCAGTCGTGTACTATGATGTACACTGTACTGTACTGTTTGTAGTCCGGTCCGTCGGTCGATAATGGAGTTGCTATCAATGCGCGCATGCGATGCTCGATGTGCGGCTCTCTCATCACTCTCGCCCAGTCCCACTACGTAGATCCACCGCGCTAGTGCACTGCACGAAGTACTACCGGTAATATCATGATTATGTTGTAGTGACTGCCAGAACGTCGTTTGCATAATAGACTCTACGTAGACCTATCATGCCTGTCACGTTCAAATCAAAACAACAAAAGACCGCCTACATTTTTAGATTTGTGCATTCAGTGTCAAATTGTCAATCACACATTTTTTATCCGTTTGCTGACTGATTTTGGAAGAAGACAAAATAGTCCTGGAGCTCAAAGAAGAGGCACCCGGCATCACTTTGGCCTTGCCACTGATTCAGGGTCATGTTGGATTGGGATAAATGTAAAGTCCGTTGCCTCACTAGCGGAAGCCATGTGAGCTGCTAGGCCTAGGGTTGGCGTTGCGCTTGTTGCGAACACCTCGAGTACGTCGTTGAGTAATCTGTTCGAGTAGGTTTGCGAGGCGAGCTGAGTCGCATTGTCCGTGGATATAGCAGGTCCGGAAATGGAGGAGATTGTCGGAAAATGTACTGGTGTGCCCACCAGCCGGTGGTTCCGGTTGGGTCCGTCCTGTGTCGGGCTCTACTGGCTGCTAGCACTTGCTTTGCACGGTAAGTTTTAGACAACAGTTCCCCTTGGTCTTGTTATTATTTTTTCATTGAAACAAAACCGTAGTGTTCCTGTGGCGGTACTCACTCCACCTCTGTGTCTGTCTGTCTGTCTGTCATTTTTTTCTCACTCTACTGCCTGCACGAAATCTGCTTTGTTGATCTACGTGCAGTGTTAGTTGTGGAGCCTACGGTTTAGAGGGGAACATGAACACATACATGTACATGTAATTAAGTATTTGGAAACTTTAAAGCAGTCTCGGTCCATAACGGATAGTGGGGTATTTCATCCAGGAGGCGATGGAAACATTAAAACAAATCTCTGATGTCGTATTGTGAACAGGGTGACCGCACGACATAATGGAGAAAAGCGTTCATGTAGCATTGTAGGTTCCATTTGAGGTTGTATGTTTCACTGCCCAATGTTGCTACAATTGTAGAATAGTTCCGAAGATCGGAAGTGAGATTACTTCTTGTCCATGCGGCGCGGGACAGACCTATCTGCTTCTGTTTAGCCCAATGCACACACTTAGTCAATTGCAGCAGCACTACACGTCTTGTTGGGAGAATGAGGAAGCCCGAAACCCCGTGATACAACAGAAATCATGAGTCACAGAATGACGGTAGAAAGTTAGAAACCAAGTTTGTTGTCACGTACAACGTCAGAAATGCCCTAGATAATTTCAAGACAAAGTACTGTGACAGCTGCACACATGCCCTTGCTTGTGCTTGGTATATAACTATGTTGTTACAATTACATACATACTTAGTTTTCACACTACTTGAGTGCCTTGTCATGGGACAAGCTTCACACACGTACACAACATCAGTGCAATCATGTGATCCATCAAGGGGAATGGTAGTGTGCATGACTAAGTATCGGTCACCACAATCATAGTTCAAGTGCATACCAGAGTACTAACATTACAACTTACTATGTGCCGCACACATTCCAGCCGGTATGGGTCGACCTAGTTCAAGTACACCTGGAAAGTGGGGATACCTTTCCCTCTGTGCCGGGACAGGCTGGGTCTACTACCGTCGATCTAGACTAGGGTGCACAGTATTGTGGTCCTATGGCTAGTATGCATATATGGAGTATGAATTGCTAGCTTCTACAACTTACAAGACTAGTCTGGAGCTGCTCTTGTTTGTTTGAATTACAAGTGAGTCACTTGAGTCAGAAGTGGTCTGCCTAACAATGATAGAGTGTGCATGAATGTGGGTCCGGATACATCTCTAAGTGTGTTGTGAGAGTATTATTTAAAATTTTTGTTTATAATAGATGCTGCTGCTGCTGCTGCTGCTGCTGTACATAGGGCAGTCATGATGCATTCAGGATGTGACCTACTGGTAGGTGCTTGGTACCTTCTAAGCACTATGAGAGATACTTCTTGAATGTGAAGTAGTAACATATCCACTGCCAGTACAACTAGCTACTCACTTGAATGTGAAGTAGTAGTACCGTAAAGTACCGTTGATCCGCCCCCACGCCATGTCGCTTCCCAGCTGGGTTTCGGCAGGGGGCGGGAATTAGATCAAGGCTGTCAAGTGCAGTACGATGTACAACAACGTAGAGGATCAGATTCAATGTGCTGGATTGTGCACATTTTCATCCTGGATTGGCAAGTATTGTGTACAGCAGTGCATGCGTCGGTTCAACATCGTATTTCGTTGTATACGCCGAAGTCGCTTCACAGGTGGAAAATCGACAGGGGGCGGGAATTAGACTTAGAGGGGGCAGATCAACGGTACCGTGATGAGTACAAGTTGGCAAGAGACAGAGAGAGATGGAGAGGGAGAGGGATATTGGGGGGGGGGGGGGGGGGGCGTGTCTGGATACGGGCGGCTGAGGTGTGAGTTTTATATTGTGGTGTATATGTGAATGCTAATAGCACAAAGGTACAACTAATGGAAAATTTGATTCCTATAGTGGAATTGTTGGAAGTTACATAAATCTTGGTATTTGGATGAAAATTTAACATGGTTGTAATTTCAAGGAGCATTTCAGAAAAGTTCAACAAGTTGTTTCCCACCATGTTTAACAGTTACTCTGCCTTTTTGTACCAGTAGATGATCTATGGTTACCTAGCAAAATACCCCCCCCCCCCCCCCCCCCCCAGCCCCTGAACCCCAGCTCAAATTCACAAACCACTCATCACAACCACTAGCCACCCATCCATGTTACTCAGTTCCAGGCAGGTACAGCCCGGCCTATAAGTGTAATTTCTTCTACGGGCATATCCGATCCGCTGCAGTACCGTGACAAAGAGAGGACCATTGGCTTGACTTGTGGAATTAAAATTGGTTGTTCATGACAGTGGATCGGAGTAGTGTCAGTCCTCAACGCCATTGTTATGTCCTTGCAACAAGTTCAAAAACTATATTCAATAGCTGTTTGAGCAGCTTGGCGAAAAAAACATTGCCATTATCGGCAAACGTCCATTGCAATGAGCTACGCAAGACATCCATCTATGTCAACACAGTCACCTATGCTGGCACGGATGGACGGGTAGACTTCGTTAAAGTGCTCCGGCATTGTGGCATCCACTTGCTCCCGGCTAGGCCACCAGTTCACCGTCCGGAGTTTCTTATCAAGAAATAATATCCATGTCGACGCTGTCCGTGAGACTGACTGTTGAGACGTCGATATTAAACTGCTGCGCCAAATCTGCATATGGGGGTCCTGCCTCAGCTTCATCAGTGTCATAAGAAGCTCATCCTTGGCGGATAGTGTACGGCAATGTCTGCGTGTAATGCCACGTCATGTCTTTGCCCCGTGCCAGTAAACAAAGGTATCAACACAATCCTCAACAAAAGAGTACAGCTCACAGAATGACAACGCATTAGGAAGTCCAGTGTAAAAGCAAACCGGTGAGTCAATGAGATGGTATGTTAAAATATTGGCGTGGCGCAGCTGTGCATTCTGCGACTCCACTTCTCCCAGTCGCGATACTAACTGGTGTGCCCACACCTCCATTTCTGAGAGTTTTTTCTCCGGAGGTTCTCGGTGGTTTCTCCCGCAGCATCCTGCTCTCCAGCATCGTCTACAGCTGGAGATGGTGGGTCTGCCTCGGCAGAAAAATACACAGGCACAGGTGTAGGTTTTCTTGCGCTTTTTCGGCGACTGGGCGAGACGCACAGTAGGTGGTTTGCTAATGGATTCTTCCTTCCGAAAGGAGACTTGAACACAGAAGGAATATCAGTCCTTCCCTTGCGCTTGCCTCCTTCGAAGTGGTGAGCACTGCACACACGGGTGTGCACATTGATGCGAAGAGAATCTGTTATCATGGCACCGAGTCATTTCTTGAGCAAGGACCTATTTTTCAGAGGCAAGCAATAAAACGAAATGCCTTCGCTGTCTTTCTTGCCGGCTTTGTGATGGCAACCAAACACAGCACAGGTTTTCCTGGCGGAACTCAGACAGGGACACTGGAACTCAGAAACTGCATTGGATGGGAAAGGAAACAACTGCCGACAACAAAAACTGAAAACCTCAAAGCAAAGGAAGCCCAAAAAACAGGCGGGTGGCTAGCACGAGCAGCAATGCCACCCAAAAAGCCACTTCAGCCAATAACGTCATGGTCCTAAACGTCCTATTGACTTTCTTGACCATTGTGCTATGATCACTGTGTGCTTCATATCGATATGCAGGCATCGGGCTATCCTTCTCACGGCCCATTCATGTTGGCTACTTTGGAATGGAAGATAATCTACTCTCCAGGGAGTATGTAAGTGTTACTTTGAATAGAAGGAACAACATGTGGGTGTAATGGCTGTAACTTATTTGTTTGTGAAGTACTGCAGAGCTACAAGGCAAGAATTTGTAGCAGCAAAAACTACAAACTCCCAGCTCACAGCCACAAGCATCTGGATTGAAGATTTCACAAATCAGTGTTGTGTTTCCTAATCCTACTGAACTCATCATTCAGTTCAGTGTATTGGTTACCACTACTGAACTCATCATTCAGTTGTACAGTTGCTATTGGTTACCACTACTGTGGTACTTCACACTAGCATCTCTTCACTTGATTGCGTCAGGTTGCTTGTGCTTCACTTCATGGTAAAGCACGAACACTGGTTTGTGAGATATCTAGCTGAGAGATAGAAACTTGTAGTTTTTCAAACTGTGGAAAGGTAGCAATAGTTCACACCGAGTCACAATGGCAGCTACGAGTAAGGCTGATCTCTCTCCATCTTACTCTCAATCTCTCTCTCCATCTTACTCTCGATCTCTCGTTCCTTCTCTCTCCATCTCTCTCTCTCTCTCTCTCTCTCTCTCTCTCTCTCTCTCTCTCTCTCTCTCTCTCTCTCTCTCTCTCTCTCTCTCTCTCTCTCTCTCTCTCCAGTGGTCTGCATTTGGTGTTGCACTGACAGAAGCAAATAGAACTGCCCCTGATGGCGTCTCGTATTCATTCTCACGTGAGTTCTTCGCATTTCTGTCAGTTATTACGTAATTGTACTGTCCTTTTCATATTGGAGAATATTCCTATCTCCTCCTTCTGATTGATAAATATGGTGGTAAAGACACACCTGGCAATATGGCGGTAAACACACGCCTGCCCACACACGCTCTCTAGGCTGCAAAGTTCTGGCACAGAGCTCTCCTCACCACCACCACCATCAGTTCGTGCCTGGCGCCTGGTCGATGCATGGTTGGCGGTATCCAGCATAGCAGGCTGGTACATCAAGTAGCGCATGGCACATAGAAGATGACACAGCAACGACATAGCTCGATTGCGACGTACGTTTCGTCCCCGCTGGACTCATCAGGCAATCTTCTTCTTGGATGTCTTCATACGGAGCTTGACTCGGGAGAATTCTTCTGAATTTTTTTAATATTGGGTCTTGTCTGAATAACTAATGCTGGATGTCATCTTCAGTTTTCTGCAGAGGAAACTGATGATCGAGACTGCTTTCACTATTCCTTTTCTTTTTGTGTCTTTTTCTCTCTTTTTTCTCTCTCCCCCTCTCTCTCCCTCTCTCCCTCTCTCCCTCCTTCTCTCTCTCTCTCTCTCTCTCTCTCTCTCTCTCTCTCTCTCTCTCTCTCTCTCTCTCTCTCTCTCTCTCTCTCTCTCTCTCTCTCTCTCTCCTCTCTCTCTCTCTCTCTCTCTCTCTCTCTCTCTCTCTCTCTCTCTCTCTCTCTCTCTCTCTCTCTCTCTCTCTCTCTCTCTCTCCCTCTCTCCCTCTCTCTCTCTCTCTCTCTCTCTCTCTCTCTCTCTCTCTCTCTCTCTCTCTCTCTCTCTCTCTCTCTCTCTCTCTCTCCCTCTCTCTCTCTCCCTCTCTCTCTCTCTCTCTCTCTCTCTCTCTCTCTCTCTCTCTCTCTCTCTCTCCACATCTTTCTTGGCACTTGCTGTCTTCCTCTGTCAAGGTGTTTGGGCATCGTCAATCAACTCTACAAACTGCTCACTGAGCGCTGAGCAGCTAGTAAATGACAATGTGGAAGTGGTGGTATCAACTGCTAACAGCTATTGTACAGCGCAGGCATTACCTCTGTTTGGTGAGCATCAAGCCTAGATTTGATTAGCTTTGGTGGAGGCAAAATGGTTTATCCTGTGTTTCCGTCACATCTAGCTTGGCTGTGCCAACGCATGACATCATTAGTTCTAGATACTGCAAGTATATGCATCTGTAGGCAGAAGCCCATAGCATTTTCATTGCGTTGGAACATTATTTTCTGTTCATGTAGAAACTAATGGCATTGCAGTGTTAGCTGCCCTGGCATCGTCAAGTTCAGTCTTGTCTCGAGCGAACGATGGAGATTTCCTTTTTCAACTAGCACCATCAGATCAGGTGCAGGGCCGGGCTATTGCCGCTGTCATGGATTATTACAACTGGACTTCGGTGAGTAGTGCGATTAGTACTATGGTGTGTTTGTTGTCTCTATCTAGCTACACGCAGTGTTACTTGTGAAAATAATGTTGTTGAAGAGCCTGAAGTTTGTGCTACTATTCAGTATTATAGCCATTTTGTCTCGAAGGAAACCATTTTTAAGCAGTGTTAGATTTGTTGCTCTGAGGCAGCTAACAAACTATGTGCATGCTAAGGGACGTTTAATCCTATTCAAGCTCTGGTCAGTATGAAGCCTTCGCGGTTTAGCCATCTTGTGCATGTTAACATGTGTTTGTCGGGCGTTGGCATTTTATGTACTGCATTTTACCAGATGTAAGTCAGCCCCCCCCCCCCCCCCCCCTCCCCCTCCCAACACACACACACACACATACTTGGGGTGTTGATTTACCGGTGTGATAGTAGTCCCCTATTGTAAGTCAACTACCCCGTTTTCAGTTCGGGCTTCAGGTCATAACCGGTAGACAAAGACACTTCGTGGAGTGTCATTACAATGAACAGCACTGGGCAGTTCTTCAAGCAGTGTATAATCTGATGCACTTGGACTGCTCCCACTGTTCATGCAGATGAGTTCCATAGCAGTCAACTCCTTTGGCAGCAGTGACATCGTTACTGGAATACGAAACACAACAACAGGCAGCCAACTGGCGTTTGGTGTTGATCTTCACATCCCATCAAACGAAACAAATATCGAACTCAGTTTGGAGTCTGCCTTTTCCGAGGTACATCATGTTAACGATGTGTTCGTGTGATCTTTTTCTCTCGTAGGGATCGATCTGTTGATGGAGAAAGTGCCATTGCCGAAAGGCAATACTTATGTGGGATGGCCAGATGAAAGATCTGTAAAACAAGTCTTGACTCAGTTCACATGTCTTGCATTGTAGACTTTATAGAATGCCCAGATTTCTAAAGTGCTCAGCAACACAATAATGGAGCAATACCACATAGGCAGAAGAAAACAGTGACACTGGACCGGCTAAAATTATACTTTGAAGTAGTAGTAACGCTGCGTTTCACGCACATAGCAAGGCTAATCCTTGGACAACTGATACAATCAGTTGTCTCAGGACAAGTGCATGAAACGCAGCGTTACAACTATAATTTAACCGGCTGTCACTGTTCTCTTCCGCCTTTGTAAAGTTACAACATAGATACGAACGGCAGTGCAGTGCCAGCGTACCTTGACAACTTACCATACATACTTTTAAGACTTCTTACTGTACTACGACAGTTTTGATTGGAGCCTATTGTATCTGTAATGTGTAGTTCATGTACAGAATCAACATGATTGTAACATGATTGTAACATGATTGTGGTGATGTAACTACTTCCTCCGTTAACAAAAACTTCGTGATGGATTTTGATAGATATGAAAACGCTTAGAACAGATCAAGAACAGTTTGTATCGATTGCAAATCACTGGACGAAGGTGATTCAGCCCATGTACAGCGTCTTTACAAGAGAAACTGTTGGCGGAATGAGCAGAGAGTTCAGTTTGCGTCGCTATCGCTCGATCCATTTTTGACCTGCGTCGCTGTCGTCATCTGCTGCACGCGAGTCATCATCTGCTGTACGCGAGTCGTCATCTCTCTCGAGTCGTTGTTCAGCCCGTTTCAGCCTTGCCTCGGCTTCTTTGATCACACTCCGCTGACCTTGATGTCGCCGTCGTTCAAGTAAGTTGGCTTTCAAGCTGCGTGATTCGCCGCAATGGCGATTACTCGTTTCCACCAGGGAGTCGTGAAAAATATTTTACGACTCCCTGGTTTCATCTTCGCTGTCCGAACTCCGCGAAACGAGGAGTAAAGGCACAGCTAAACTGATTCCATTTTCTCTAATGGATTCCGCCAGCACTGAACGGCAGAGGCTAGCAAGTCCAGTCGACTTTCTTTAGCCACGAGACTCGCATCGGACTGCGGACTTCTGAAAGAATGCATGGTCATCAGCATTCGAATCTGGGCTTTGCGCAGGTTGAACAAGATCTTGAGTTCAGAGTTATTTTCATTGAGCCGTGCGATCGGAGCAGCTCCTTGTTCACTCGCTCATTGTGTGGGCTCGCTGCTCCGTTTCATCGCTCTCTATCACTCTCCAACTTACTCAGTGCTAAAGTGACAGAGAGGCCAAGCAACGCAATATCCCCTCGGAGAAGTGGTATTTCAGTTTCGCTCGCCATGACTGTCATCACCTATGTTTCCACAGCGCAACCATCGATTCCGCTCGGCTTGTTGTGAAAGGTCGCTTTCCTTGCATCGTACTGTTACATGCAACCCAGGCACTACACAAGACCAAGACACACTTGTCAGATTGGGAAAAACTCAAGACTTGTATATCACTCGTTCAGAGCAAGACAAGACAACAAAACAACAGGCATGCGCATATGCATGCAGGAAACGTAAGTAATAAGATAACAACTTATGACGCGTTTGTACAACGCTTGCTCAGATATCACATCCCTCCACCATCAGATGGAAACGACCAGAATAACAGAAATACATAGACTGTGTCGTGGCAGCAAATAATCTGATAAGATGAACTACAGATCAAGGCGGACAGGAGCCTTTACAGAACGAGAAGAACTGCGCATAGACACGACAGGACTAGAACCACTAGACTGGTTAGGAGTAGATTCAGGAACAGATAAATCAGCATTCTCACGGATCTCATCATGTACAATTGAGCCAGGCAGTGACATAGACTCATTCGGCGGAACACTAGGTAGAGCAGTTGAAGACGGTAGAGCTGTGGTAGAAGGTAAAGCTCTGGAATATGGAAGCTGTGGTGCTGACGTAGCAGTTGAAGCATCTTGCACCGACTCAGCAGGAAGGCGTTTCTTCAGGTGGTCAGAGTGACGCTTCCAGACTCTGTTATCAACAAGACGAACCGTGAATGTTAGAGGACCAAGCTGTTCTTCCACGGTGCCAGCTATCCACTTCGGTGAGGAGTTGAAATTCATTGCCCAGACGGCATCACCACAATAGAACTGGTATGCATTCGCACCACCACGATCATGGGCAGTGCACTGTTTGTCCAAGACTTTCTTGCCGCTGTCCGGGAACACGAGATCCAGACGTGAGCGGGGACGATGTTCCTTCCAAAGTAGCTCAAACGGAGAACGACCCGTTGTTGACTGCGGCGTCATTCTGTATTGGAACAGGAACCTGGCAAGGCGGGTTTCCGAATCAGGGCCAGACATCTTGGCCAAGCCAGACTTCACCGTCTGTACTGCGCGCTCGGCTAAGCCATTACTAGACGGATGATATGGTGAAACGAGAGTGTGACGTATGCCATTAGATGAGCAAAACTCACGAAATTCACTACTTGCAAAAGCAGGGCCATTGTCAGAAACAATATTATAAGGTAAGCCAAGCAGAGCAAATGTCTGCTCCAGCTTGCGAATTGCGACAGCAGCAGATGAGCCAGAGCAAACATGTGCTTCAATAAATTTACTATGACTATCGACAATAATGAAGAGCATCTTACCAGCGATGGGTCCAGCAAAGTCGACATGGACACGTAACCCAGGCTTACCAGGCCATTCCCTTGGGTGGACTTGCTGGCGATGCGGCGACTTGGTGACGGTCTGGCACTGCGTGCAACCACGGACGGTCTGTTCGATTTCTGCATCGAGAGACGGCCACCAGACATAGCTGCGTGCCAGGGCTTTCATTCTAGCGATACCGGGATGACCGGCGTGCAACTCGTCCAGCAATGGTGCACGACCCGGTGAAGGAATAACTACCCTGGAACCAATTAGGATACAGTTATTCAAGACAGACAGCTCACTACGACGACGGGAATATGGCTCTAATCCCTCTGGAATGTCTTGGGGCCAGCTCTCAGACACGAACTCTTATACTCATGCCAGGGACGGATCTTTGCTCGTCCAGCGAGCAACCGATGCAGACGTAACCGGTGTAGTGTTCAAGACGGATAGCGATAGTACAGCCTCGGCTGGCTGCGGCGGTTCCGGTACCAGCGCCGGATTGGGGAGGCGACTCAACCCATCAGCGCAACCGTTCTGTTTCCCAGGCTTGTACTCCAGAACAAATTCATAATTGGCTAGTTTGAGTGCCCATCGCTGAATACGACCACTAGACTGAACAGGAATGGGTCTATCAGGATCAAACAATCCCAGCAGTGGCTTATGATCTGTTTGTAGTGTAAAGTTGCGACCGAAGATGTACTTGTGGAACTTGGAGACGCCAAATACCATTGCCAAGGCCTCACGGTCAAGCTGCGAGTAATTCTTCTCACAAGACGACAGCGTTCTAGATGCAAAGGCTACTGGCCGATCAGACCCATCTGGCAGAACATGCGACAGAACTGCGCCAACACCATACGGGGAAGCGTCACAGGACACGACAATAGGTAAACTAGGATCATAATGAATACGTATCGGCTCAGAAAGCAGCAGAGACTTGCCTGTATCAAACGCTTTCTGGTGACTATCAGACCAACACCACGACTTTGATGATAACAATTCATACAATGGAGCTAACACTGAGCTTAGATTCTCGATGAACTTGTGGTGATAGTTTATGAGTCCCAGAAAGCTTCTCAGTTCAGGGACATTCTTGGGCTGTGGGGCCTTCACAAGGTCATCCACTTTCTCAGCCGACGGCCTAATGCCGACTGAATCAATAACATGGCCCAGGAACTCAATAGACTGCTGAGCCACGAGACACTTCTCACGATTCAACCTGAGACCCGCGGACGCTAGACGATCCAGGACCAGCCTCAGATTCTCATCATGCTCCGCACGAGTCTTTCCAGAAACAACAATGTCGTCGAGATACACTACGACAAAGGACAGACCTGCTAACAATTGTTCCATCGTGCGCTGAAATATTGCCGGGGCCGCCGACACGCCAAAGGGTAGGCGGTTGTAGACGAACAATCCTTTGGAGGTGTTGATTGTCGTCAGCAGCTTAGACTCGTCGTCGAGCAACAGTTGTTGATAAGCATGTTTCAGGTCAAGCTTGGAGAAGAATGCGCCTTGCGATAACTTCTGATACAAGTCGTCGATGTTGGGCAAGGGGTACTTGTCTACTCTTGCCGACTGGTTGATAGTGCATTTATAATCGCCACAGATTCGTATGCTACCGTTCCGCTTGAGAACGGGTACGATTGGAGCTGCGGGAACTCTGACAATATCGAGTGCTCGCGTGACACGTTGAACACGAAGTTCCAATTCAACCTCAGCAGTGGCAACGCGTCTCGACCCAGGAGATTTGGTCCGTTTCCTTGGACAACGACGATCGACAATTCTGCTGATTTACGAGAAGCATGGGTCGCAGAAGCACTAAAGCGACCGACGACATTCAGAATTCCGCCGGAGTAAGTACGCAGCTTCGGCAGATCACTTGTGTCGAGCGACAAATTGACCTTGGATGCCAGCCGATGAAATTCGTTTTCAGACATCACCGTCACGGCTGCACCCGTGTCGATTTCAAACACGACTGGCTGTTTACATAACTGGAGGGTACAACAGTACGGGTCCACGCGGTCCTTGTCACTCTTCGTGCGGTACAACGAATAGTACTCGTCCAGGCCGCTGCTGTACGGACTTGCAGTTGTAGGACCGGATGCAACACTCGCACCAGTACCAGCACTATGACTTGGAGCAGGAGCAGGGTCGACTGGCGACGTTCCATGTACTTCTTGAGACTGGCCAACCATGTGTACACTGCCACCAGTGCTGGACTGCTGTGAACGGCAAACTTTGGCGAAGTGGTTTGGCTTCCTACACTTCCGGCACGACTTGCCCCAAGCTGGGCATGACTCGCGCTTCTCGTGCCACTGGTCTCCACATCCACCGCATTTACGTGACTGGCCACGCGATGACTGCACACATCCACCCCGTCCAGCTTGCCTGTGACTCTGGTCTCGGTGGTGCACGGCATTGACAAGCATACTACTACTCCCGGTATAACCGGTACCAGACGAAGTAGAAGTGGTTGAGGACATTCCTTCCGACTGGGACTGGGCGTCCTCCCAAATTCTGCACATTTCCAACGCTCGTGGCAGAGTCAGGGCTGGTTCTGACAGGAGCTTCTTCTTCAGCTCACTGCTGTCGACTGTGGCTACGATCTGGTCACGTATAGCTTCCGCAGTTTGTCCTTCATTCTCGAAAGAACAAAGCCGAGCTTGCTGCCGAAGCTTGGTGCAGTACTGCACTGTGGACTCTCCCTGCCGGCGAGTGAGTTGACGGAAGACGTGCCTCTCATACGTAGGGTTTGCAGGAGCACCGAAATGAGCTTGCAAGGTACGCTTGCACTTGAGGAACTCATTGTCATTCTGTGTTCTCTGATCTGGTGGAAGGCTGTCATCTGGGTCGGATAGGTCCTCGAATAAATCCTGAACTTCTAGACCCGCGAAGTGCAAGAGCAGTGCTTTTGAACGCTTCTTGTTCGTAATGTCCTTTCCCGTCAGATAATAGTCAAAGGCTCGAACCCATTTTGTCCACCTCAGAGCCACTTGAGATGGGGGTCCGGACGTGTCGAATGGTGGAAGACGGTCACGATCTCCCTCCATCGCGCAGGACGTTGTCTTCGTCGCCAAATTGTTACATGCAACCCAGGCACTACACAAGACCAAGACACACTTGTCAGATTGGGAAAAACTCAAGACTTGTATATCACTCGTTCAGAGCAAGACAAGACAACAAAACAACAGGCATGCGCATATGCATGCAGGAAACGTAAGTAATAAGATAACAACTTATGACGCGTTTGTACAACGCTTGCTCAGATATCACACGTACCTCTGTCATGGCATGCCAGGGAAGGCCAAGAAAGTGATTGCGACTCATTTCACGGCAGTTTGTGCCCAAATCAGCCCCTCAAAATTCCATCACGAAGTTTTTGTTAACGGAGGAAGTATTATTTGGAAGTAGTTTTGCCCAATTTCTTCGGCAGTAAGTTTGAAGGATTACGCTATTGGGCTAAATGGGAATTACCAGGCACAGCACCAGAATAGTATGAAGACAGCGTGTGGAGGCCAGTTGCTACTGCTCACACTCTCAGCTTCATTCCAGGCTAGTGTGCGAAAAAATGTGATGTGATTGATGCTGTTATGGTGCTTCTTACACATCTAGGTATATGGCATCGGCACTGGCATTAACCTTCTGGACGTCAGCGATGTTCCCAACAGCAACATTGCTTTCACTGCTATATTTCGGGAGCCGGTAAGACACTATAGCAGACAGAGTTTGGTTTTGGTGCTGTATGATAAGTTCCATGCTTTGTATTGCGTGACTGTACTGGTGCGTATGCTCATCTCCAGGGCGGGCACCAGGCAGTATGCCATTGTAAAGTCATTGTTGTGTATTTTGCATAACTAGACTGTGGATTTTTTCTGCTATGTCGATCCCTGACTCTCTACAATATACATATATCACCTAGTGCCAGTACTAGCATTAGTCATACTCAGAACCTTTATTTGAAAGAATAGGAAGGTAAAACAACAGAAAATTGAAATGAAAAGCTATGTAGAAGCAAATTTCAAGTCAATAATCAAGGAAACTACCGAGGTAGCAAGGTGAAACGAAAAATGTAATTTCAATCTTGAGCCCTCAAAATACGTATCATACAGGAGAAGAGAGGACATTAGTGATGCAGTTCTATCAGAGAAACCTGGAAATATTGTGCGAGCTAAGCAAGAGGTCTACACTCGAGACAATGCACAGAATTCACGAAACACTTTGTGTAGGAAGGCACTCTGAAGCCACGCAAACAAGTGATACCGCAGCGAAGGAGTCAGAACGATAAGCAGTAGATTTTGACTTTATTTTGTTTGGATCATAAACAACAAGAACAACTTGTCGACCGTCTCCCCGGCAGATGAATGGATTTCGAAACTCATCTGATCCTAGTGCGCCCCCAAGATATCGGCAGCCCTCTGTTATGATGCTTATGCCTGTGCCAGCGAAGACACGATGAGCCTCATCTGCATGTATTTCTTTAAAACACATTCTGGTTTTGGACACATTCGGGTAGTGCCCATACTCTGGGCCAATTGCGTAGAGTTTTGAGCTGTCATTAGAAACACTGCTTACACTGCACTACTAGTACTAGTCATAGTTGAAATATCGAAAAACCTTAGCCCCATGCTGCACTTCTTCAGTTGTCACTAGTTTATTTGAACTATGCCTTTGTGCTTGTGTTGCATTCCTCTGTTTCTACTTCCCTGTCTTGTTTCCTTTGACGGTAACAGCGTGTCACTGGTGAAGGATGGCAATGGATAGCGTCGAGTCAGGCTGCAGTGGCATTGGGGCAGACACCCATTGGCAGCGGGGTGCGTCTGTACACGCAGGGAGCACTTGCCGTTGTTCCTAAATGTAAGAGATGCTGGTCACATCCTACCTCCGCGCTTTCTCTCTGTTTTAGCAACAATGGAGTTAATGACGAAAATTCTAATGTGCAGAAAGTTTAAAATAGTGTAAAGTCTAAAGAGGGTGGTTGCTAGGGTGGTTGCTAGGGTGGTTGCTAGGGTGGTTGCTATTTGGTGTTTTACTGTGTACGTGATCAAACAAACCACCTGGATATTATAATTATAGCACCACCTAAACACAGTGAAACCAGTGTTTGAACTCATTGACCATTGTGATAATTACTAGTGAGACTACCTCAGTGACCTGTCCTATCACTTTAGAGGATCCATGCCATGCTTGTACATGTACATGTTGATGTGTATTTCAAGACCACAGTCATGTTGATAAAGAGCAGTCTTCTCATCATGATGAGGTAGCTACTATACACAAATTCCCCTATAATATGGTTGCATTCTTTCCCCGGCCTATTCAATGTTGCAGATGCTGACTTATCGTCTGGCATTTGGCAAAACTTCACGCAGATACTTGCATCAGAGCATATGTTTGCCAGCGGCCTGGCAACATGTAGTATACTTCCGGTAAGACGATTTCAATGAAAGATCAATGGTGGTGGGATGTTAATTCGATGGTGAGGCTTTCACTGCTTGGTTTCTTCTCACTACCAGCATGCATGGTACTATTATGGTCATGCCCATTGCTGAAGAACAGGGGTTTCTTTTCTTTTGAATTCAGAAGTGATGTGCGCTTTCTCTGATTCCTGGATAATGTCCGCATCAATGTGTCCGATATGGTATGACTGTTCTTCGTCCTGATTGTGTGTTCTTCGTAACTGCAGGATTCGAGGATGATAAATCTGCCTTTCCGAGCACAGGTAGTCGATAGTGTCTTGCTGATACAGCAAGCTGTTGGCATGCAGCTTAGTGCGAATGCCACACAACTCCAGGTAACCCATGTTCTGTATATCACATGGTTGACGTATACTAGATGCTGGGTCACCGGGTGTTTTGAGAGTGTCACAAGATGCCCCAACACAACAAGCATCCCTTCTTTCTTTTTCGTTTTTACCTCAAACCCAACCTCATTAATGAAGTGCGATGGGAAAGAAGCAGGAGAGAGCAGAGACATGGTAGGGGCTACACAAGGTAGCTGGGTCGGTGGTGCAGACCAGAAAATACAAGCCGCGATGTTTCACTAGTTAGCCACTACTTCATGTTTGCCTGTGATGGTGCAGAGTGATTGGGCATTCATGCGACTGCCTCTCCAAAGTCCCGGGACAAGACATTGGGGCAATGGAAGCATGATCTTGGCTAACAGAGATGCAGACCGCAGCAGACAGATTCCATTCTAGCATCACCCAGCTTGCTTCGGTCTGTACTTTGCATTCTTGATTTGTCTTCCATTTTGTTTTTGTCATTCTGAATTGTCTTTACTCTTCATTACTATATTCATGAATTCGCACCTCACTCACAGCCACTGTACGTCATGAGTCCATGCATGAGTCACTGTGAAGTTAACATTCACGTTATCCTGTTTCTGGATATGCGCTCACTTGTTGTGCACTGCCTGTAGGCTGATGCAAGTGTACGCAGGCGTGCCATCCTCGATCAGCTCTTGAGAATCAACTCACCAGCACGTGGTATCATTGGTTCAGCAGGTAAAACCAGAACAACGCGGGTTTCTTTTCTGTGTAAAAAAAAACATGAATTTGTTTGTGCGGGGGATCCGAAAAATACCAACTCCACTGTACCAGAGGCCTTTGTCTTAGGAAACAAATGCATGGATGGGAACCTTTCACGCACAGACATGTAGATGATGTCACTGGAGGTATTCAAGGTGTTCTTCTTCCAATTGTTACAGGTGTCATTAATAGAATGTGAACATCAAAGCAGAAATTTGAGCATGTGTTGGACATAACTCTTTTGACCTAGCAAGAATGAACAGATCTGTTGGCAGCAGGATGATCTTGATCGATGCTTAGCCATTACTAGTGTACCTTCACTTGCTTATGATATTGTGTTGGCCAAACGCGAAATATGAATAAATAATAATAATACGGCTTGTACAATTCGTTTTCGCAAAGCTTCCCTTTCTTTACTTATCTTTGATATTAAATTTTATGACCCACCCAAGTTGGTGGTGTGCTGCTTTGCTGCTTCGAATTGTAGTTAGACCGCTTTGTCAAATAATCGTACTGGTCTCGTCATCGTCCAGTAACAATCGACATTCTTTGTTCCGTTGGGACTGTAGCTTTTGCTCGTTTTCGTTGCGCTTGCCTTCCCCTCTTTGGTCTTTCCATAACCTTGAACCTTCCAAGTTGGAAGGCTGTCGGTTAGCGCTACGGAGATGTGTTGAAGCTAGGTGTGAGGACGTCGAATGTCTCAGAACTCTGTCAGTTTTGTGCCTAGTTATTGCACTTTCTGACTGTATATAGTATCATGTTACAGTGATGGAGAGTTACTCTTAACTCGTATCCGTATGTCCTTTTCTCTTCTACAATAATAATAATAATAATAATAATAATAAACGCGACACATGGTCGCTAATTCAAATAATAATAATAATAATAATAAACAGGTCGCATCTTCCCTGAACCTGTTAGACAGGAGCAGAGTCGACGCAGCTGTCAACAGTGCTAATTCAAACCTGATATGTTATTGTGTTGTCTTCTGTATTGTCCAGGTCACCCTGTATACTTCACCAGTGATCGCATGCCGGCTGTGACAAACCAGGAAGTCGTCATCTTTGATGTAGGTCTCTTCTTATGCACAATGAGGTTTCTGAACATCCTTGTATTGATTCCTTTGGCTTTGATGGTGAATGTACGTCCCAGCGTAATGCCCAAATATGGATTGGTGTCGCAGCATTAAGTGTGTGTGTGTGTGTCTGTGTGTGTATGTGTGTGTGTGTGTGTGTGTGTGTGTGTGTGTGTCTGTGTGTGTGTGTGTGTGTGTGTGTGTGTGTGTGTGTGTGTGTGTGTGTGTGTGTGTGTGTGTGTGTGTGTGCGTGCCGTGGTGTTGCGTCTGTGTGTAAATTTGTGGTGAATCACTTCTGTAGAGTAACGTTTGGCTGTCAATTGGGTCCTGGACTGCCAGCTCCGGCTATGTTCCCAATCAGAACCAGACATTCGTCTGGCCTGGCTTCAGCTCACAGGTAAGAAATCAATTAAGACCGTCATCCCTGCTGTACTTCAATCTTCAGTTTGTAATGACCATTAGTAATAGGTTTTTCTTTTGACCTGACGAGACCACACGACGCTTGCAGACCACAGCACGAACAGTTCACCAGCCACACTCCACGAAAGCAAGTAGTATTACTCCTGACAAGTCTTGTTTCGTTCCATAAAGTTGATGGGGAACTCATCAGAGGAGAAGCAGTTGTTGAATGAAGGGGTTAAGCTGAATAATGCTACTTTATAGCATATATATTTTATTCTTCTTGTCAGGAGTAATACTACTTGCTTTCGTGGAGTGTGGCTGGTGAACTGTTCGTGCTGTGGTCTGCAAGCGTCGTGTGGTCTCGTCAGGTCAAATGAAAAACCTATTACTACTATTTGACGGACCTATTGAAGATGGCAACAAAGAATTGTAATGACCATTGTTGGTGTTTTAATCATGTCCGCAAAGCACCCAACTCCTGCGTTCTTCTTTCCTAATATCTCCTATCCAGATCCCAACAGAAATTGCGCCGGGATATCGTCCGCGGTTCAAGATTGGCTTCCTGTATTTGAGTATCGAGGGTAACGACTCATCCAACACACAGGACAATGCCCTGGGTAGAGAATACGTAAGGCTACAAATAATCTACAGGCATACCATTCCCGTGCATTTAGAGCCTTGTCTTGAATAAGGCTGATCTCGAATAATACCCCCCCCCCCCCCTCCCCCATTTGTTGATAGGTCGAAGTAATAAATCGATCTCTCCTGAATTAGAAGCCTCCAGGACCCTGACCTAAATACATAGAAGCCCGGTGTATTCTTTGTTAGTCTGATTCTCAGGGCACGGGTACGATATGCGTATATCTGCATGCAATAAGTATGGTTTGCGTATATCTGGGGAAAAAGGAAAAAAAAGATGTGTTCCCACACCGGGAATCGAACCCGGGCCGCGGCGGTGAGAGCGCCGAATCCTAACCACTAGACCATATGGGAGACATGGATATGCATATAATAGCCGAACACATGTACCTTTCCACAGTGTACTCTACTAAGTAGTATCAAGAGTCCATAAACAAGAGTATGCAACTGTGATCCCTTTTCTATGGGCCAGATGCGCGGCGCGCTGCCTTCATCACATCATTCAGCTGCAGTCCGCGCAATGCGGAAAATCAAACACCGCATTTTCCCTCTGGTTTGAAATGAACTTTCGTGCGGAACTGGAGTTCACGCGCCAGAATTTAGAGATCGCGTAGGTACTGGAACGAATCGAGCAAAAACGGATGGGCTCGTACGAGAAATTGTGAGTTTGAATGCATGCTTTCAGAGCGTGATGAAGGCAAGTTACGTAATGAAGGCAGCGCGCCGCGCACTGACCCATCACCACAGTTACATACTCTTGTTTATGCACTCTTGGTAGTAGTAGTAGTAGTAGTAGTAGTAGGCTTCTGTTTTCCATCGGAAGCCTCAACAGTGTTGAGCACAACTCTTAAGAGAGCCGATAACAGAGTAGAGGGGGTGGGTTGCGAAAGAATATAATAAAAAGGTCAAGATTGTGTGAGGGATTAATGGGAAGGCAAGAATTAATTTCTTTGCTGCCGAGGGACATAGCTCGTGCACATCTTCGTGTCGCATCCCTTCCTTATCATTGGAACTTTCCGCATCTGAGCCTTCCAAGTTGGAAGGTTGTTTGGGTTTGCGCTTCGTAGATGTGTTGAAGCTAGGTGTCAGGTCGTCAAATGTCTCAATATCCCTATCAGTTTTGTGCCTTGTAGCACTATCTGACTGTATATTATCTCGTTACCTTGGTGGACTTTTTTTAGAACACGGAGGCTCCCACTGCAGCCTATTCATATCCGTGATCATCAGTCACCACCACCACTATACAAAGGCCTTGGTGGACTGTTTGTCATAACTAGTAACTTATAGATCCTTACTCTTCACTAGTGTTGTAGATTCATATTTCATTTCTCACTCTAAATAGTTTAATATTAAAAGTGGTATGCATCCATGCTGGAATACTTTCGATTTCACTTTCCAAATCCGTAGTGGTTTGCTTTTCGTTTTAAATTTGTTCTTGTCAGTGCTACTGCTACTGCTGATGTTCTTGTTCTTGTTCTCGTTCTTGTGTATCTAATAGCTTTCGGCCTTCAATGTCAGTGTGCGCCACATAGAACAGAATACATCTGCACTAGTATTATTTGATCCCTATCGTAAGTACGGCGTACGTCACACTCGCGCATTCCAACAGCAATGGTCCACTTCCATCAAGCTCTGCTATCATTTCACACAGCCGGTTGCGTAATCTACTCTTAGTATTACTGATTAAGTTTGACTGGTTCCCTTGTACACACGGGCACATCACTTAAAACCAAAAATTACTGAAATGAACAAACCGTGAATAGGAGATGGTACGATTAGCCTAGGACTTTTTCTCTTGGCTTGGTTCCAATTCTGGTGGTGACAGTCAATTTTTTCTTCAGACTGCTCCCGTTTGCATCTTTTCCCTCAAAACCAATGAGTACAGTATTGTCAGGCGCCGAAGAACTGCAGGGGGGGGGGGGGGGTCAGGGTTCAAGCCTAGTCCGTTCTTATTTTTGCGACCACAGCAGTTTTGTTCTTGTTCGATGGTACAGTCTTACATGTACACTTATGCAGAGTTATACGTCTGAGTGTACATTATAGTGTATATTACGGTTTCCGTTCTAATCCGCATAAAATCCAGCCTACACTGTTCTCAAAAATTGGTGAAATTCTAGCCTGGCCGTTCTGGGCGCCCAACAGTACTGCACTGTTGCTAATCAGAACATACTTATTTATACACGATGTCATGTTGGCTTCAACAGTTGCTAAGGTCGTATGTATTACGTACATAGTGCACTGTATCAAGGAGAGCTAATAGGCCAAGTTAGTTGGATGGCTCTGGACCTCAACTCAAGTGCTATTGCCGTTAAATTTCACAGTTACATATCCAAGGGTTGTAAACGACTGGGGACCTGATAGCCTAGGTACTGTATGATTCTATGGAAGCCAACATGACTGGCATATAATTATTATGCAGGGTTCTCATAAGTTGTACTCTGCAGCCAATAGCCTGCGACATGCAGAGCATGATTGCTATATCCAGTGCGCTCTACTGCATTAGTAACCTCCTTTACTGAGTCTTCAGTGTTTGATTGATTATGCAGAAATCTTCGCGAAAGGTCCAAGTAATTGTAATTGTTGATAAACTTCAAGGAAAGTGAGATCTATGTGATGCTTTGTTTGTCCTTTTGCTCTATTGTCGCTCAGCTATGGCTGTGGATACTGATGAGGACTGTGCCGACGCAGCTCAGAAGCTGGCGGACATGGGTGTACATGTTGTGATTGGCGGTTACCGGTCAAACTGCTCCATTGCTGCAGCAACCGTTCTTGGTAAGCTAGAGGCCGTGTGTTAGTCAGGATTGAGCTGCCTTACAAGATCCGAATCAGAGTAACGTGCGAATCAAAAGCATTTTTCGTTCTAGGATGCGTGGGACTGAGATGTTTCTAGCAGGTCGAACAGGTATTGTGATGCAGGCTCAGTGAAAATACTCTTAGAAAAGCCAACTCCAGAGCAGTATGCCAGATCATGATGGACAACCTGATCAGTGTTCTGAAGTCTCATTGCACGTAGAGAATACTATGTGCATGTGTGCAGCCTACGATCTCTCTCTCTCTCTCTCTCTCTCTCTCTCTCTCTCTCTCTCTCTCTCTCTCTCTCGTACATACACTATAATATTATGATGTGCTGTTGCACCTGTGTTATGTTTGCAGGTCGACAGGATGTGATGGTCGCTCAGGTCAGCTATGGGTCTACTGTGGAGACACTGTCCAACACAGATCTCTATCCATGGTTCCTTCGCGTTGTACCGCCTGACAGCTTCCAGGGAACAGCCATAGCTGAGCTCGTCCAACGGTTTGGCTGGTCTAAGGTGGCACTGCTCTACACGGAGAATAACATCTACGCCGAAGGCTTGAGGTCTAGCTTTGAGCGTGCTGCGAACGGAACACTACTCAACAGCACACAGATAACTGTTGTGAGGGCCATGCCCAACAATATCAACACAAACGAGAATGCGGATCAGATCATTGATGACGCACTGAACGAGGTAGGTATCAAGAAGTACCGTTTCTTTCTGGAGTACATGTACATGTATAGGCCGCACTTTAAGCACTTTAAGCACCAGTAATTCACCCAAAACAGCCGTTGCGGCTTTTACTACGATGATCAAATTAACGGTGGTATATCGGCCCGGGTAGATGTATGTATTTCGTGACGAAGATTCTGGGTGTGGCTTACACTCCAGTGTGGATTTTACTCCGGGAAATATGGTACATTAATTTAATGTTCAATTGGGTAAGGGCAACAATGTCACATGTAAGGCTAACAGTTATGCCTACGCCCTGGAAAAGAATAGAACATCCATTCTTTTCATAGCCTTCGGTCTTTCATTGCATGCTTTGTCTCTGTGGCCATGTGTGGAAGTTGCAGTTCAGTGGTTGTCACCCTATTACGTTTGTTTCAAGCTGCTTATGTTTCACCTGTCTTGCATGCATTTGTTCCCTGACCGGCAGATCATCAAACAAGACACACAGGTTGTTCTACTGGTTGTGTACAGTAGTCTAGCTGAGAGGATTGTTCAGCGAGGATCACGCTCAGGTGGAGTAAGTGCCATCAGTAAACTCCTTGCATTCTTCCTTTGATTTTGCCATCATGTACCAGACCAGAACTGCGCTCTCCAGCCGACCTCAACACCTAACAGTTAGCTCGTTGCTACAGCACACGAGGTAGATATTGTAGAATGGCTAAGATCTGAGCCATTCTACTCGTACAATATCTACCTTCACTGACGAGAGTTTTATACTCAAAACAGCTGCATGAAGGAATTCAGTGCCAACGGATGTGTCGCTGTGCTGGTGGTGTGCTGTGGTGGCAATGAGTCAAATGTGGAGGTCGGCTGGAGAGTGCAGTAGTGGTCTGGTGGATGATGGGAAAATCTGTACAGGGTCGAATGCAGCTGCTTACCCTATATTCTTCCTTTGGCTTAATAATTTGAAATGAACAGCAGATTCCAACCAGATTCCAACCCCTCATTACATTGTTTCTGTGGACTGACGACGGAATCGAAATAGCCATGTGACACCTGGGTTACTTGAATCCAAGCATGATGGCCTGATAGCTTAGTAATGTTGACCATGGCCACAAAACTAGGGTCCGGCTGAGCATCCACCCCCCCCCCCCCCCTCCCCCATCCCCCTCTTATCTCTATGTTCTGTATGTTCTTTATGAATGGCAATTGCGAGATCTTGCATCCAACATTCCATTCAAATGTGTACTATACAGTGTTATAGCCTTATAGGTAATTCCATTAATTTTGCCTTCGAATCAGTATTTTACTGCATGGGCTCATAGCAGGTATGTATAGCCTTATCCACTTGCAAGGCACCCCGGGCAAGGTGCCCTCGGGCTACCTCCCTCAAGTGTTGTGTATAATGACTAAGCCTGGCGGATACGTTGGTGTACTTGTTGTTTTCTGTAGCCCGAACCAGCTGATGGCTGGATCTGGGTGGGGACTGACAGTTCTACGGCTTTTGAGCCGCAAGCGGAAGATGTCCGTGATGCCGTAACGGGGATGGTTGGAACCAGACCCAAAGGTAATGGTTGGAATGAGCACGGTTATTTGGACAACTAGTGCAATTCATACCCGTGGTGCTTTATCTCAGGACAACTAGATGTTTGGATGTTGCTACATGTAGGTCCCCTTGGCAGGGCTCAGAATGACTGGCCTGTGCATACTTGAGCCAGAGCACGCTAAAATATGACCACAGACCAAAAATTCGATTTTCAGTTTTTTGTTCAAAAATGATCAAACACACCTAATGTTCACTTTCTGAAAGTTTTGGATTGATCTGACATGTCTAAGTGTTGCTACAATGGTATTATATGCAGCACTGTTGAAATGGTGAAATTCTATGTACAGCAACAGGATTGTCACTTTTGCACACAGTTGATATGTCCCTTGGTTCATCCTTTCTGGGTCAGTTCCTCTGTCCAGGGTCTTATAGCATGAGCTGACAGGTACTCAGCCACATCCAAAATTTCTATGGCAGCTGAGCTGGGTGTCCGAAATACCTCCTGTTTGGAGCACCGCTGCCCTGGAGAACCGCCAGCGAAAACACGGTCAACATCTGTAGACGGACGAAGAAGTTGACACTCCACGTCCTCCCCATCACACTCCACCTGTACTTTCAGATAATTATACGATATACACTGATGCACACAGCATACTCGACGTCGCACTCATATTCCCCACACCAAAGCCCATCTGCACACGGTTTTCTCCGCTCGCCAGAGAGTACTGCTTTCACTGCCTACTGCTCGTGCTAGCGATGTTCCGCATAAGGGTACACAAATTATCGACTTGAGCAAGTTGAGGGAGCACCAGAGTCCATTGATTGTTTTTGCAGTTGCAACCAATACTGGCATTGTCCCGGATATGTGCAGCGATGTCCATTCTGGCCAAATCATTGGCCGACTCACCTCCCAAGTCATTGTCGATGCCAATCGCTTGCCAGATTGTCATCAGAGTAGAATTCCTCGTCACTGCAGATCGTGGGACTACCAGCATCAATTCTTTTACGCTCGATGAAAGTGTCGCCCTCAAATGACTCGTCGCGCGCTGTAGCCATCATCGTCTTCCTTCTGTTTCCGACCCGAGTCCTCAAAATATTTTATCCTGCGCATGGAGTGCGAGGATGTCCTCTTCTTCCGCTCCACAGTACATTACTACTACTAGGCTCTTCCGTCGATACATCGATGACGATCAGTTTTAGGCGACTCAGCGCAACATGAAAATACAAACTCAAACAAATAAACTATTACTTACTTGCAACAAAGAAATGCATCCGGAACAGTCCAGTCGACCGAGGAGAACAACAACAGCTACTCGCGTTGCACTGCACTTCGTATTTTTTTGCCGCGGAATTCAAATCGCGATTTTCTCGACTTTTTCAAAAAAAGCTGTGGTCATGTTTTAGCGCGCTCTGGCTCACTTCTTTTTGAAATAGTAGTTCCGGTAATTTTGTACTCCAGAAGTACTCCTAGTAGAGCAAAACAGATGCGCCTTAGAAGTCATCCATTATGGAGAGAACATAAAGTGTTCCTATGCTGTGAATTGAAGCAGCAAGTGCACCAAATCCTACCCCCTAGACCGTATTTGAGCCATACGTATTCTATTGACTGTATGTCAATGTCCCGAGTTTGGACACCATGGTAAATTGTCTTTGTCTTTTTTGAGGTTGCTGAATGCGATTCAGTGAAGTAGCTTAGAGAGTACAAGAACATGTGCATGAACAAGTAGATAGTGATATCATCATAGCACTGCTAACGGAACAGAGCTACTACACCGTTGTGTTCTAAGAGAATGTGTTCAAGTACAAGGCATGGTTCTCACTGTGCTTGCAGGTGGTGAAGGTTATGTCTTCCTGCAGCTGCTGAGCGAATGGCTGCAGCTTAACCGCACATACAACCCGGGGACCGTGTTCAATATTGTAAGTACATGTAGACCCATTCATCTCGCAGCACAGCGCATTTGATGTGTGCTTAAGGTGAACACATACTTAGTTGATGGAGGAGCAAACTGGATGTTCCTGTGCCTAATTGAAACATTGTCTTCACTCTTCTGTTGACATTTTGTCTCTCGTTGAATTGTTGCTGGTTTGATTTCTAGGCAGCCCAACCACAGCCCTACGTTCCTGAACTGTTTGATGCCGTCATGGCGGTAGAGCTTGCACTGTCGGACTTGGTCAACAGCAAGCGGGTGTCTCAGGTATGGATGCGCAGTGCACTACAGTGTGTTATGTAATGCATTCGAAGTGCAATGGTGGTGTTCTACCTTATCTAGGCTGCCAACCAATGCACTAGTCTGCCTGGTCATTTCTGGTGCTGTATTTCTCTGCTGGAATGTTCTGCACAAGCCGAAGTATCTGGAAAAAGTTGCAACTTGAATCTTGTCGATGAAACTAAGACAAACATGTGACATGATTTCCTGTGTATCCCGCAGCTTACCCCGCTCCGTGATGTGAGGAATAAAGTGTTTAATCAGTTGCTCTCCTATAATTCCGCTGAGCGAGGATTTTTTGGCTCGATCGGTGAGTTGTAGCTGGTGGTGGTGGACTTCAATTCATGGAATGACATCTGTATATTGTGCAATACAGTGTGAACATTCAGCATGTCATTTCCAGGCTGCCCAACCATACATCATTGTCTTCCTGCTTTGAGCAGGCCAGTCCCCCATTAAACTAAATTGTTTGCGGATGGGATGCAATTCTCCGTGGTATAAGCGTACACTGAGTATGCATGGTGTACCGGTTTGGCTTGGTAATGAGATTGGAATTTAGAGTACAGACTCTCACTCAATACCAAGATTGACCGGCATCCCGGCCATGCTTTATGGCTGGTAGAGTTTGGGAGCTAATTCTAAAACAATATTAAATTTTGTCTGCTCTACCAGTGTGAACAGTTGTATGATTCATGATCCGGATGAATATCTGAACATTGCCAGTTTGTGGAGAGTACTTCACTGCCTGCCTGTATATCGCGATAGAGCATGGTGTTGAACAGGATTGCGTTTCAGTCTTGAGTGACATGAATATTGATCTTCCCGGCTCAGCATGATGCACAGTGTTGACTCAGTGGTCGTCATGACAACTACATGTACAGTGAAACCTGGCTAAGACGACCGCTGAAGGGACATTCAAAACGTGGTCTCTGTTACCAGGCGGTCTCCTTATCCAGAGTCATTTGACTGGAAATAGCATCCCTTGATCCTTGTTTCAGTGGCCTTCTAGGACAGGTGGTCACCTTATCCGAGTGGCCGCCTTGACAGGTTCTACTGTCTGCCTGTCATTGTAACGCATGGCTGGTTTCATTATTGTTGTGCTTTCACTTTTCAGGATCGACAATATACTTCGATTCCCAGAGAAACGGGCCTGCAGAATATGACATAGTCAACTTTCAGGTAGCTGCTCGTATTCCAGTCAGTGATACTTGCTATGCTTGTATTCAGTCTGCTATCCCCCCCCCCCCCCAATTTCAACACGGTCCATTCGAATGTGCTGCTGTGCCCCAACAGCACTACAGTTTTCAATTTCTTTTCAATAGTCAATGTGCTCGCTTTTGCCAGTTATGCCAATTCATGCATGGACTAAACAAGAAAGGGTCAAGGTAGTAGCCCAGATGGAAGTGCTAACTTGAAAGCAAAGTTTGCACTTACACACACGCACACACGCACGCACACACACACACGGACATGTAGCCGTCAAAGCCCTTAAGTTGACTGTGTGTTGATCCACTATTTATCTTCAGGGAGGCCAGTGGCGGAAGGTTGGTGACTGGATCCGTAGCAGAGCAGTGGGATCAAGACTCAACCTGGAGCTGTGAGTTAACATTTTACTGTACTGTAGTGCCGAGCTGTACTGTAGTGCCAAGCTGTAGTCTATTGTGTCCAGTATACTGCGGAGTCACACACACACCTTGTAGCACAAGCACTCTAGTGAATCCAAGTGGAGTGTAAAGTCAGGCAATGGGGCACAGAAACTGGATTGGTTGCAACAACACAAGGCGGTTGACACCATGCCAGCACTGGTATGGAATGTTTCACTCTGGTGGCTAGGAGATTTTCCAGCCACGTATGCGGCATTGATAACGATTTATGCAGATACTTATCAAACATTTTGACCGTTTTCCCTGCTCTGTCCAGCTTGACGGTGCTGCCTTCTGGGCAGATTGCTACTGAACGAGAATCACCTCCAACCTTTGAGGTCTTGTACGTGGATCTGACCTCGGGTTCTGATGAACAGCTTACTAAACAGCTGGTAAGGAAATGGCTCTGCCTAGATCTGAGGAGGTGACATTGTGCTGATGAGAGAAAGGGTTAAGTAGCAAGAGGTAATTGCATGTTAAATGACTTCAAGGTGATGACTTATTGATCAGTAATGTTTGTATCATTAGGTCATAGGAACTGATTTCCAAGGTATACACCAGGGCATGTGAAGTGGAGAAAACAACACGCATTGTGACTATCTCACTCAGTGTGTCGTCTGGGTTCAGAACATTCCTTTATGAGTTCAACATCGATACGTCAACTTGACCTGCATGTATCTGTGTCTTTTGATTGTGTGGTGCATGTAGGGTCTGGTGAGACGTATTGCTCTGCAGTACCTAGCAAACAATCAGAGAACCTATGCCGTGCGACTCAACGTAACCGTTTTAATCCCGAAAGGATCCACTGAGGACTGCGGCCGTATCGTCTCTGTAAGAAACACTGGTAGCCAGTTGATGATATACGTCAGTCTTGTAACAGTATGAGGAAGCAGTGCCAATGAATTTTGTGACTGGATGCCCCTAAGATGAAAATACCTGGATGTTATAAAACTATTGTATGTTGTCAGTGTGCTGGAAAGGAGGAAGTACACCACAGATGTGTGAAATACAGAGCATCAACCGCTATATACTTGAAGTAGCATAATCGCGGTTGATATGCCTGCCATTATAGAGCTATACATAGTCCTTCACTGGCATAACACTTACACGCATTATCTGCAGCACCTGTAACTTGTGGAATTATCCACGTTGACCTGACTATTCGCTGATGCGTCCTCTTAAAAATGTAGGAAAGCATCAGAAAGCAAGCCAGCTATTCCAACCGATTTGGCTATGTAGCAGTGATGGGACTCATTCAGTCCGCGTGTGCCATCAGTGTATCCAACACTCTCCAAGCTGAAGGTACAGTGTGTATGTGTGTAGTTACTGGTCCTTTGTGGCAGAACTCTCCTCTCCCCCCCCCCCCCCCCCCCCCCCCCCCCCCCGGGCCCCTTCAACAAGAAACACATGTGCGGATGTATAGTTTGTTTCAATGTCAGCAAAGTCCGACCACACGTATCTAGTTCCCTCTTGCTTGGCTCCCTTGCCGATTAATTGTAGATTTTTAGGAGCAGGGTTATAACAAACTGAGTGCTCAGTGAGATCTGTTCATAGTCACTGTTCTAATGCTGGCATAGATCGATTCATTTCACTTCATAGGACTGGAGAGGGATTCTGTAGTGTTTCCTGTGATTGGCAACTGGCAGTGAACACTCTTTTTACTGTAGTCTGCTATTCCATGTACCTGGACCTAGCGAGGACTTCAATGTGACTAGTGCCCGAAATGTTATGAACAGTTTTGTGTTTTCATCCAACATGACGAGCAATTTCCTGCTGCAAATTGCTGTGTTGATCAGGCATAAAGATACCGCTGATATCGTTTGGAGCAACGTCCAGCGACTTATCCAACAAGACATCTCACCCATACTTCTTTCGTACTTGTCCCGGGGATAACAATCAAGCTGACGTGGCACGTGATCTGGTTGCCCGATACAACTGGACGAAGGTACAGTACACTTGGATTTAAATACATAATATGGAAGGAAAAAGGACCAAGGAACTACAAGTTAAGAGGCTATGATACTAATACCACCAGTTACTAAACAATCAGCTCTTGTAGTTCCTTGGACCTTTTTCCTTTCTATAAATATATCCTTGGCTCTCCATCCGAGTCCATACATAATATGAGATATAAGAATGCTGGCAACACGTCGGGCCACTATTTACTTTGAATTTGCTGGATTGGATGTTGATAGGGCAGCAATGCTTTGTTTGAAGGGATTGTGGAATGATCTCCACAGGTGACGAGCATGAATACAGAGTCTTTCGGCTCCCTGAAGACAGTGCGTTTTCCTGGATGATTAGTGCCTGTTCTCATCCAATTCACAAGGCAGGAAACTTCCTTTCAATTAGTTATCTGATGCAATGTTTCAATACCTACTTATTATGCTTTGTGCAGATTGGCATCATTGGTACATCGGATCCGTACGGGTCAGGTCTGGCGCGCTCTGTGTTCAATGCCGTTCAGAGTTTGGGTAATGTCCTGCCTGGCAATCCCATTCTCTTCGAGCCTGGTGCCAAGCTGTCGGTTGTGCAAGAGAAAATCAAACAGGTATGAAGTCACTCAGAAGGTGATCGCTTTCTTCTTCCTGATTGTTGTTGAACAGCCTCCTTTCGAACATTCAGTTTCTTATATCCTACTGAAGGAGTTTTGGATGGAATCTCTGATGCTATTTTCATAGCTAAGCATGGTAGGATAGACACCTTATCTATGCCAGTTGTGCTTCAGCCATGGACCAAAGTCAATGGATCTAGATGAGAACCGATTTTGGATCCAAACTACTGTTGCGCAAAATTGAAACGCATACAAAATTCTTCAAGTCCACAACCTACCGCCATGCATCTATAGTAAACAACACTAGGGAAAAATTAAGAAATGTTGGATCCGCATTGTACTTGAATGATTTATGGAAGAGATCTGTAGTGAGAGATATAGCATGATGTTTCCCATTGCCAAGCTGCGGTATGATGATTATTGCCTGTCATCCTCTGTATGTACAGTTGATTATTGCCTGTCCGCATCCTCTGTATGTACAGTTGCGCAATGGGAACACTGCAGTGAACTTTATCAGCGCTTTCACGGACGATACTCGCACCGTTCTCAGGGCAGCCGAAATCAATGTAAGAACTCGTTGTTGATCTGGAAACTATTCCAATAATATTTGCTACACGTTTAGGCTGATTTTCAATGGATTATTTAGCATATGGTGCCAACCCACGCCATCGCAGTATGGCCTGTTGGAGGATATTACCCATGAACTCGCAGCCTAGTCGTGTAGCATAACGAAGGAAGCCATCAGAACAGGCAGCCAAAACCAGCTGCAATGCACTTTAAGAAATGCCGCACTCAACTGATTCTGATATGATCACCGAGACTGGTGCAGGTTGACTTGAATTTTCACAGCCGCGGTGTGTGGTCAGACTGTCCTGCAAACTAATATTATCAGTTACTCACTCCCAGTGGCGATTGAGTGCAGTGCAGCGCAGTGTAGTGCAGTGCAGTGTAGTGCTGGAATTTGCAAACCGCTCTCCAACTAGTTTGTTTATAGATTCTGAAGTACAGACAGTTCATCACAATGATGTCATATGACAGCATGCACATCAGTGTTATCTCCGGCACATGTTTTCCCTGCAAGCACCAAACCCACTAGCCATGTTACCAGGGTGCTAGTTACTTCACCACTCACTGGCAAGCTTTAATTAAAAGGTGGCTGGGGCGGTACAACTTTTTAGGGGTCATTTTGATCACATTTTGACTGCATTTTTGAGTTTATCCGCAAGGTGGTGATGAAATTCGAAAATGTTTTCTGGTGAATCTCTGGAAAAGAGCCTTCTCTAGCCTCCTATAGTTTTATTTTTACTTTAGGACAAAATTTGAAAAGGTTTTATGAAAGGTCCGTGAAAAAATAACACGAACCTTTCATAAAACGTTTTCAAATTTTGTCCAAACGTAAAAATAAAACTATAGGAAGCTAGAGAAGGCTATTCTCCAGAGATTCACCAGAAAACATTTTCAAATTTCATCTCTGCCTTGCCGATAAACGCAAAAATGCAGTCAAAATTTTCCCAAGAAAGTTGTACCGCCCCAGCCACCTAATAGTCTGTCACAGTGTGCTGCACTGCTTGGGCTGCTTCTTGTCATTTCCTGTCACATGATCTGCTCAGTCTTACAGTTGAATATGACCTGAGAAATAAGGCACTACTTAGAGCAAGTTTCATTTGAGCAAAGTTGAAAAGTGTGAAAAGTATCACCTGGTGATACCACCTCCGACAAGCGAAACTTGGCGTGTTTTTTGATTTTTTTGTGTTGGTACACAACTTCATAAGGCTGTGCATGCCCATGTGAGGTACGACCTACTTGTACTTGTACTATTTGTAGTTGTAGCTCCATGCATTTCAACCCGGGTGCAGGAAGCCAAGCGACGAGCTGGTGAGTGGCACATGGCTCAGACTTAGTCAGACGCAGACCAGTCGCTCGTGTACCAGCACAACAGTGCGCGCTTCCATTCTGCGAAGGAGAATCGTCGTGCTTTCGCGTTCCGATGCAAAGCCAAGGAGTTCTCTCTCTCCACTTGGTCACTCAGCCAGCACAGAGTCCATACGTCCATGCCAAACAATCCTGGCGTCTTTCAATAGCCTCTACAGCGATGCGTCTCTGGTGGCTAAGGAAAATCGCCAAGAATTGCTGCAGGCTATTTTGGACAGTTGGCGAGAATACCCGGCACAAAAGTTGGAATCCAGGCGCGTGTGGAGGTGTTGCACAGTTCGTACCACGTCAACCGGGATAGTGGCGGCGTAAATGACTACTCTCAACATCGTGGCTCAAGCACAGCACACAGGAGCGATATCGAGATTTCCAGAGCGATCACAACTGAGGTGCTTGCTGCACTGAATCCGCTCTAGTCGCACTTTCATCGCAAAACAGGGATAATTCCTCTCCAGAAGAAACTGCGATCTCTGAATCAGGAGAGTGGTTCCTAACTGATATCTCTATGATGTCCTTGTTGAGCAATACAAAGTTGTATTTTTGTGAGTTTTGATTAGTTTTGATTGTAAAGTGTGAGTTATTTCGAGTAATTTGAAGTAAAAAAACGCGCCACGTTTCGCTTGGAGGTAGTAGTTGCTAGTATTTTTCTATCCATTGCTGTTGTCTTTATCACTACTCGAGATTCTATTGCACCCAGGTTTGGCGCCACTTTCCTCATCTACATAACTGTGCGCTCCCTAGTGTAACGGGGTTCATTTGAAAGCAGACCAGACTTGTGAACTGCTGCTGCTGCTGCTGCTGCTGCTACGGTACTGAGTCAAGTGGATTGTTGCAGCCAGTACACCGGAGGCTTTATTATTTGCCTTTTGGCAGCAGGTCTTGCTGGACAATGACATAATGTTTATATATACGGTGTTCATATGTGTGTATTTGTGCTTGTGTGTGTGTGTGTGCGTGTGTGTGTGCGTGTGTGTGTGTGTACTTGTACATGGCGTTCGGTGTCGATATATCACATGTCTGCATGTGTGTGTATACGTGTGTGCCTGTGTGTATGTAGAACATGTTAGGGCCAGGTTGGACATGGCTGGGTGGTGATGGTATGACAGCATTGCAATTCAACTCCACCAATCAAGTATCTGTTCAGTCTCTCGTCGGATCTTCCCTGATAAGTATGACATAATTGATTTGTGTTATGACATCATTGTCTTGTGTGATTAAATCATTTACTGTTCTGGTTCCCCCTCAGAATTTCTATCTGCTTCGAAATACTGTAGTGCTGCAAATTGTGATTGTGATAATTATAAAGATTGAATCTCTATTAAAGGATGACTGACATAGATTTATTCCTTATCATTGGCGTACTACTGATGTGTGTGAATGTACTCGTATAATGCTAGGAGACAGTGCTGGATAGAATGCACTCAGTTGAGTGTACCTGCACTTGCGTGGTGCTCCACATGGCAATGGTTGGTCATTCTGTAGACTGCACTGTTATCGGAAATTCATACCTGACTAGTGCTGTCTGGTTTTCCGCTCTACTTGTGTGTCTGCTGCAGTTGGCAATGGCTCAGTGTTTGACTTCCTGTCAGAACGCTACACCGCACAAGCCGGTGTGCTCGGCATCACGCCACGCAACAATGTGGTCTTTCTCAGCGGACGGGTGAGTACGGCCATCCTGCTAGGTAACAGAGCTATCATGCAGCATCAAATTATTTGTGGGCATTGGATAGTCCCAAATCTTTGTGATCATTTCTGGTTCAGTTGATTGAATCAGTCAAGAGTGATTTTTCTGCATCCATAGGAATGTCACAGCAACCTGCCCAGTGGGTAGTTGTCCTGTTGTTGAACTTTTAGACACTATAAACAAGTTTAAAACAAGAGTAAATTATCGTGTCCGTTCCCGAAGAGAACTCACTTCGGCCGCTAACACCCGGTAAACCCTGTGCCGCTGCCGCTAGGGTTTAGACACTATGCACGGTTGTTTAATTGAAGTTGGTGCTGTATTGTGTTGTGTGTTGTGTTGTGTTGTGTGTATACAGAGTGTGAGTGTGCCATTGTTCGCCTCACAACTATTTGACAGCGTCACGGTTTTAGCGTACAGTTTGTCACAGCTCTGGAACAGCAGTGCCATAATCAATATACAGGTAAGGTTGGGTTTGCACAGGATAGAGAGAGAGAGGGAGAGAGGGAGAGCGAATGTGTGCGTGTGTGTGTGTGTGTGTGTGTCTGTGTATATATGTGTGTGTGTGTCTGTGTATATATGTGTGTGTGTGTCTGTGTATATATGTGTGTGTGTGTGTCTGTGTATATATGTGTGTGTGTGTGTGTGTGTGTAGGTAGTAGCTGTGTGGTGTAGACCAGGCTGAATAGTGGCGGTCAATTCTTCAGACGTGCAAGCTGTTGAATGGTGCATTCCCAGCACAAGTTCAGGGCTCACCACGACCGTACAAAGCGTCAATAACGGTCATTTGGATTTGACCAATCAGCGCACGGCAAACCGGGCTGTTTCTTGCAATTGTGGGGTGTTTTCTGAGTGGAGCTTGGCTGTATTCGTTGGTTTTAGACATTAGGCCATTGTGGATTCGTGTTCAGAAGGTGTGTCTTTGGAGGGTTACCGTCTCGAATTTTTCGATTTGGCCTTCGTTTGGCTGAGATCGGATGGTGAAATCACTCAAACTTCGAAGGCGTGCGAACAAGTGAATGAAGAGAAAATTAGAAATCGGGGACGGTAAGCCGATAGAGAATTCCAAGACCTTGAAAATGAGCTATCGATGGTGAGAATCGGCCAAGGAGAACCGCTGTTCTACTTTTTTGAAGACATCAAGGTCGGCCGTGCGTCGCCGCGCGCACCAACAAAAACTGGCAGCCGTGCGCATATCTGCAAGTGCAACAAGAAAGGACGGAGGAGACAGCAAGCGTTCCAAGTGAAGAGTTTACCTTCGTGTTGACTCAAGCTAAGGACTCATGCCAGTCAGGGATCATACCAGTCACTTCTCATCATGGTCATGACTAAGGGATTCATTTGTGGCCAGGAAACTCCCCACTCGCAGCGTGAAAGCTGTGAGGCCAAACAGAAAAGAGTGTGCCGAGTCGCGATCAGGAAACGCTGAGTTCTGCTGACAACATTGGTTAGCTAGGCGCGGCAAATTCTTGTAGATGCCAGGACTCAAGTTCACCAGTACCTCACGGATATATGGCCCAATATCTGAGAAAATCGACCTTCGGGGCTGTTTTGGTGAAATTGATTTTTTTATTGCAAATTGATGTCTTGCCTTTGTAGAGTATTGTGACTTCGTTTCACGGCCATCAGACCAATATTGACCATGTAGAAATGCATTCTACAGTCAGGAGTCATGTTTTATGAATTGTTCTTTTTTTACAATTTTGAAAGATCAGTGTGTTTGGAGCCACCAAAAATTGTTTCCATGTGATATCACTAGCCAACTAATACAGTAAAGTGTTTTGACTGTTCAGGTACTTCATTTCCAGCATTCCGTGACTTTATTGAGGTTGTGTAGTAGCAACAGCAGCAATAGCAGCATTAGAAGGAGAGGTGATTTATCTGTTCTCCTGGTGATGGACATGCTTGACAGGATAGTCTGCAACAGATTTTGACGGAAAACCATGATACATGTGACAGCATTCACATACGTATTGTGAAGGAGTCAAACAGAGCAAATGCGTCCATATTCGCCTTGTTGCACTTTGTGGAGACTGACCATTTCCAAACATCATTAAACCAGCCTGACAAGCGTTTCACACCACCAACTCAAAAGTAACAGAATGTTACTCGAGATTGCCCAGCCTCATGTGCTCAGTGATGGTCTGATTCGCCATTATTAGCTCGAGTATCGAGCTTGCCATCCCAAACATTTTAGGATCATCGTCGTAAAGAAAACTCGCATCATTTCGTGCTGTTTTAGCAGGTCTGGCGTGACACTCAGGAAACAGTTCTGCCACTCGCGCAAAGGTGACCAGCGACCTTGCAAGCGGCGTACCCTCAGGAATCCACCTGGTTGTCCTTGCCTGGAGCTGTAGCAGCTATCGCTGAGGCAGACTGTGGTTGGCCTTGATCATACTCATCCAGGCCAAGTCCTCATCATCGTCGCCCCCGACAGGTAAGTACCGCGTGTCACTTGCGATCGATTCGCCTGACATGCGCTCTCAGAACTAGAAGCGCTGTCGCCGCTTGACAGGATATCCACAAAGAACGATGCATCACCGCCCATGGGATCGCGGCTGCTGTGCTCCGTGAGCCCAATAACCAACTGACACAAGAATCGCCTTCAATTTTATTCCGCCATTGTCGTCTCTGCACTTTGCTTTGACGGAATCGATTTTTTTGCGAACAAATTTGTTTTTAGTGTTTTCTCAAAAAAAACGCGTAGCCCCGAAGGTCGAAAGTCTCAGATATCGGGCCATATCTTGGTCGACACCCATCAGCGGATTGAGAAAAATGACCAAGATGGCTTGGAGAAAGGACGTCTTCTCCGCGTGTCTTTCCCGACATCAAACAACAAGATTCGCTTCGGCACTGGCCCTTTGTTGTACAGAGTAGACCAGGGAGTCGTAAAACACCGGTATTTTATGACTAGACTGTACATCGCTGTACATCGATGAGCATGAACTCGGGTGCGTAGCCGCTATGACTGCACAAACTCTGGCCTTGGCGGCATCGCCATGTTTTCAAAATGGTGGTCGACGCTTTTTGAATTTTGTATGGTCGTGGTGAGCCCTGAAGTTGATATGGCTTCTGCTGTAGCATCGCTATCATCGCCTCTGACGATGGGCATCAATAGGTCAAAAGGTGTCAGAGGCCTGTGCATTCTGCACCTAGGCACGACACTCGTCTCCTCAGAGCTTGATTGTGTGAACTAACTGTGCTTTGAACACACTTGATTGCAAGCACTATTCAGAAATGCGCCCTGTAGCATGCTTCCATCTTTGTGGCACAGAGTTGCTCTCGGTTTGTAGTTTTACATTGCTTCTGTCACGGTTTTTTATTACTGAACTTTCTGTTCTGGATACAACCATAAGCCAATGTGCCAGTACATTTGCTAGTGAATAACTTGAAAGAAAGTCGCGTTGGTCATATTCTGAATGTGTAAGTTAGCATGCATTGGTCTTAGTGTTCTTTACTTTTACCCCCCGGGCCTTTCCTTTACCCCCCCCCCCCCCCCCCCCCCCGGGCCTTTCCTTCACCTCACCCCGGTTACCCATTGATTTGCATTATCTCTGTGTCTCTGTCTGTCTGTCTGGCTCTCTCTCCTTCTCTCTCTCCCTCTATCTATCCCTATCTCTAAATCTCTTGTTGTGACCCTCAGTATGACTCTGGATCAGTAGATCGCAACGCTTGGCTGACCACCACGCGCATGGCTGTAGTCAGGCGATTGAGAAACACCACCGACCCTCCTGTACTGTTGGGTGCGATGGGTAAGTGTGTATATGTGTGTACATTTCAGATATCTTTTTCCTGGGCCCACAAGAGAGCAATATGCTGATCAGATGGAAGCAAGCAACAAGTGGTGCTGACATCAGTATGACATCACACCATGACATAATTATGACATTAGTATGACATCACACTATGACATCCCCGGCCCCTAGCAGGCTAGCACGCTAAGTACACTATATTAAAAGCATCCTACATGTGTGATGGTTTTGTACTTTGCACGCCATCACTATTTCTGCAGTTGCTACCACTTTCGTGGGCTACTTGGTATGTTGCTGATACTCGGCAATGCGAGCATATTCTCCAGCTTCTATCTTGCACACCCAATTTGGATGTTTTCATAGACTTCAGACTCGAGAAGCATCCACCCGCTTTCACAACACTTACTCAGTATAGCCTCCAAATTGGCACACTCTGTTCATGGAGTGACTTTGTTTATGTGTGCCTGTGTGCGTGTGAAAACCTGCATCACTGTCCCTGAAGCCTTTGTCTTAGCCGAAAACAGACATGAATGGAACATTTTCACTCACAGATGCGTTAAAGCTCTATTCTTAGTAATATGCGAGCTTGAACTCGGATGGAGAGCCAAGGATAAATTTATACAAAAGAAAAAGGACCAAGGAACTACAAGTCATACTGTAATGTCCACTTACACCACCAACTACTAAACAATCAGCTCATGCGATAACATTGCACGACACTAACCGACGGTACTGACGTTCTACAACTAACTGGTACCTGGTGGTGTAAGTGTACATTTTAGCGTGACTTGTAGTTCCTTGGTCCTTCTTTCGTATAAATATGTGAGCTGTTCTTATTACTTGCATGTGTGCGGTTCTCATCTTCAGGTTTACCAGTAATGTTCACTGCTGAGCAGGATGGTCCAGCTGCTTACAATGTTCTCAACTATTTTGTAAGTTTATTACTATCATTGAATACAAGTTAGCAACAACAGTACCCTTCCCCTTGGTAGTAACACCTTAAAAGAAGCAATTTTATCATTCACTTTTCTTCCATTACTGTTGAGCTGTGTGGTTGTAGGACACATTGAGTTTACTTTCCTCTTCTTCCATGATGTTAATGTTTGTCGTGTGTGTGTGTGCGTGTGTGTGTCCCATATGGTGCAGTGGTATGTGCAGTCGATTTCCAATCGAGAGGTTGCGGGTTCAATTCCCGACGATTTTTTTCTACAAAATCCACATATCTCCAGACACTGGGGTGAATGATGGAGTGTGGTGGTGGGGCCCATTAAGCTCCGCCGACCAGAGGTCTCGGCTTCATAGCTCCATGGACGCGATTATGGTCGCACACGTCTTTTTTCTCTCGTCAGGCGAAATTACTGGTCAGTCGGCGACACGCATTTTTCACAAAAATGTGCGTTTCACCTGCTGGGAGAGTATGCATGTACTCGAGTCTCATCCTAAGCACGTTTTTTTCTCCTTTTTGTCAGCTCCATCATAGCTGTATTTTTCATTGCAAAGCCGTCCTCGATTGTTGTGTTCGTTGTTCAAACGAAGTGGACATTCAATCATGAAGGCAGAGGACATAGGAGCCTGATTGGAGTTTCTCGTGGCATAGGACGGCCACACAGAGACACTTTGGGGTTTTCTGAATATAAAATACCGTACGCACGATGCTGAGATCAATTTGTGCGATATCAAATTGTTTGTGATCTACCACATCGAGCAGAACGGGATCCAAACACAAGCTTACCGACGGTTAGGCTGCCAACCTGACTGGACAAATGATCCCTGGCTTCACCAGACGCCAGAAGTCGGACACCATGTCATTTGCCGCGACGTCCATCTCCTAAAAGAACTCCATTTTCGTCGTGAAAAGGCTTGAAATACTCAATATTCAACCGAGATTCGCGGACTCGCGCTTTCTCGGATCGATTAATTTCCTGTTGGAACAGTTGCAGGGCAGCTTCCCGCCACTGTTTCAACAGGCGATGGCTCCAAAGCATGCCTGGAACAAGCCATATCGAGGTTGCAAGCCACCCCTCTAAGCAAAAAATTCGAAGAAATTCGAAATTTCAATGGTGGAAGATATACTATGAAGAGAATTTCAAAAAGTATGTTTCGCGGAGCGATCGCTCAACCTACGTCATTCAAACTTTGCAGGATGGTTCAGACGTACATGCTGGGCATGGAACCACAGGCGATGATGCCATAGCTGACACACAGAGTAACACGCACAGCAGATTCGTGTGCACAGATACTAAATTAATGGACGTCGTCATCTTCTTCCCGCTGATCTCGAATGTACTATGACGTGCTATTTCGCCTGACGTTCTCGGACTCTTCCTGACTTTTCTTTCATTCTCCTGGGTGGTTACCAACAGCCAGTATATGCCGGAGTATGTGGTGTGGTGTGTGTGTAGAAAAAAATGGAAAATGAAAAATAGGGATTCCCTGGCCAGAAAAAGCCACTTCAAATAGCTGTGTGGTGGATACCAGGCTAAATATAGTGGCGGTCAATTCATCAGCCTTGCAAGCTGTTGAATGGTGTAATCCCAGCACAAGTTGCTATGTCTAACATAGCTGTTCGCTATCATCGCTTCCGCGATGGGCATGTCTGAGGTCTGAGGTGTGTGTGTGTGTGTGTGTGTCCAGGGATCACAATGGCAGGTTGTTGGTGAGCACGTCAATAGGTCGCTGGTACGACAGCAAAACTCTACCAATGTTCTGCTGACGATAAGTAGAGAGTAAGTCATATTGCTGCTGCTGCTCCTCCTGCTGCTGCTACTGCTCCTGAATCAGCTCTCTTAGGACCTGGTCTAGCCGTTGGCAGATAGAGGCGATAATGAAGTGTTTTATCGCTGTAGGGAAATGGTTATACACCATCCACACCATTACAACTGATCTCTGCACCCACAGACAGTCTGCAGCCTCGTGGGGCTTAGTCCAATATCTGCCAAGATTGGGAGATTTACGGAGTTAGTTCCTACCTATGTTGCTAATCGTAAGTTTGTATTGGGAGATTTATCACAAGCAGTACGATATGTCTGGAGGCCTCTGCGTAGTTTACGAGCACTGTGTCACCACTTTGAGGAATAGTTGTACTGATTGCTGCCTTCTTGTGTTGATTTCTTGTTTCGGTGCTTGTAGTATTGTCTGGTCAGGTGGTGTGGTCACTCCTCATGGATCAGACCCACCCTCCGACCCTGGATCGTAAGTTTTAGAAACAGGCTTTCTAATGTGCTCGCAAGCGTCATGTACCCATTTGTTTGTATGCCATGATGCATTATAAGGTTCATCCGACCAAAGAGCAGTGCATGCTCCAGTTGATCTTTTCTCCTCTCATACTAACCATACCACTTTTGGCCTGTCTTCTGTGTGTGGGGAGATACTTTATGGAGAGCGGCTAACACAGGTATTGCCTGCTGTGACCTACAGAGTTGTGTAGTCCAGATGCAATACACCCACCTGCTGCTACTTGTGTGTCATCGCCGACACAATCCCAATATTTCATGCATTTTAGCTGCTCCCGGTGAGGAAAACCACTATTACTAGTATTAGCCTTGAAGAATGTGATCCACTGGTTTGAGGGAAAGACGCAAATGGGAATGTCTGAAGAAAATATGTTATGGATCATAATAATTACCTGAACTGCATTTTTGTGTATTGAATGGTTGTGTGTTCAAGCAGGTCTAGCAGTCGCAACGAGATCATAGCGTTTGTTATCATTGGAGCTGTGCTAGCCTGTGGCGTTGGTTTATTGCTTTTCCACGCGGTGCGCAAAACTAGAGGAACAGAGGTGAGGAGGAGGCATGTGTCACGGCAGTTCCACACATTTAGCATTGGTATTGATCCTTGTTTTACAAGACACTCCACAAACACGACATTCATTGCGGTCAGATCTTCACTGTCATTTTCGTAAAAGAACAGGTTAAAAAAAGTCTTATTGCTTCCTCGGAATTCAACTAGCATAAGGGGTTTTCAGTGCCACACCCATTCAATGTTCATCTCGCACACTAACTCCATGGTGGTACTTGTAGCGACTTCCATGGGCCTATTATGCATCAAATATGCACAGAGTCACAGAGAACAAGGGGAAATTCTGGCCATCCCAAACCCCAACCTCCATCCTCTCCTGGAGTGATTACTTTTATAGCCTATGCTGGCTGTGAACTTCACACCTGAAATGATTGGTCAACCAGCCTCAGCCAATCAGAGTTCAGCAAGTGTGTATCCTCTTGGCATGCTGATTGCTGTTGTTTACAAACAAAACACTTCAAAAGGGGAACGTTGAAGATATGCGTGGGCATGCATTGCTGAGGGGAACGTTGAAGATATACTGCTGAGCATTAGACAATCCCCTCCTGGAATCAATACTTTCAATAGCCTATGCTTCACACCTGAAATGATTGGTCAACCGGCCTCAGCCAATCAGAGTTCAGCAAGTGTTTATCCTCTTGGCTTGCTGATTGCTGTTGTTTACAAACAGAACACTCGAAAAAGGTGAACGTTGAAGATATGCGTGGGCATGCACTGCTGAGCATTAGCCATGCATGTATGCTCTTTTTGACTGTGTGCATGCACTGCTGAGCATTAGCCATGCATGCAGCTCTTTTTGACTGTGTGCTTGTTCCTACTTATGCTGCACACGAAACCCACTCTCATGCATAGTTTCCTCCGGTCAAAATCGAACATCAAAATCAGGAATTTGGGTGGATGAGAGTGAGCCAGGAGAATCATTCAAACAAGTGATCACAACATTCTTTTGTTTTGTTTGGAATTTAAAAAATGCTTTGACGTATACCGGTGGTACTGATTGGGAATTTTCCTTTCATTCTCCCATACAGAGTATGGCAACGTTCTCGCCTGTAAATTGATGAGCAATTGAATGAGATCATGAGAACAACGGTGTGAATCCACTGGCAGCTGTGCTCCACACATCTACTCCTGCTGTGGCATGTCGTCCTGTAGCTCCCTGCCATTCCTGGTATTTGAATCGGAACCCCGAGCCTAGTTGAGCTAGAATGGAGATGTACATTTTACCAATTATTTGCATACTACCAATTATTTGCTTTCTGCATCACAATTAATCTGTGGTACTATCCTAAATTTTCTTCATTGACGACGGACACCACATACTGCTGGCCCAGTGATGAATGAAATGAGTGGTTTTGCTGTCATGATTTTACCTGAGATGCGAGCCATTTTACGAAATATCCTGCCACATTTCAGCTTAGATAATATCCCAGAAAAACTTGAATAGTTGAGATGCTTCCGCTCTGCTGCCATTATTACCTTGATTGGCCACCATCCCCATACCCGCTGCTGATTTCTCTGGCATTGCATTGATCACTGGTCTGGCATATAGCGCGTTGATACACAACGGGGTAAGCTGCAATTACTCATCCTCAAAAAGACACTCAACACTACGAAACACTGATCAAGGTGCGTAGTGTGTAGCAACGTATAGCAATGTGTAATCTGCCAGCAATTGCGGCACTGTTTTCTTTTGCAGAAAGAATTTTATAGCCAAATTATGGACATCACATAGAAATTCTTCTTGATCAACTGTTCTGCACAATGGGCAATTTTCATTTTTCTAGAGCTAAGAGTGAAACATTAGATCTTATTGGAAGACTCTTTAGTGGGACCTTCCATTTTTGTTACTAAGGATGTACAGCTTTCTGTAGACGCGGAATCTCTCACGTATAGGGATCCAGAGTTTGCAGGGAGATGTTACTAGCCACCCTTTACCTACACATGGCACACACAAGAGTAAGAGCATGGAGAATCTCCTGACGACGACTGCATGTGCATAGCAGTTACTTTCTCTTAGAATGGTGGTTTGCCTTAAAGCTTGGGTTGACTCCCGGACCTGTATCAAACAGAATACAACTTCCTATTCAGAACAATATGCCACAGTGCACCAATGCAGATTTTTGACCCCTATAACACTCCAGACACTCATGATCTTTCTTATGGAGCCTTGGCCTCACCTACTCACAAAACAACTCCTGTGTGAACTGGCATGGGCAGGTTGTAATATAACAACTCGTGTGTGAACTGGCATGGGCAGGTTGTAATATAACAACTGTGTGAACTGGCATGGGCAGGTTGCAGTATAACAACTCCTGTGTGAACTGGAATGGGCAGGTGGCAATATACAAGTAACAACTTCTGTGTGAACTGGAATGGGCAGGTTGCAATAATTATAACAACTCCTATGTGAACTGGGACGGGCAGGTTGCAACATAACAACTTCTGTGTGAACTGGAATGGGCAGGTTGCAATATAACAACTACTGTGTGAACTGGGATGGGTAGGTTGCAACAATTGTACTTACCTGTGTGACTTTCATCATCAGCACGCTGTGAGGTGGTAACTGACTCGTGTAGTTACTCATCTTCACGCCTAGCTCTTTGTGTAGCCACAGATCACGCAGACTTGCAGGCTGGTCGTTTGGTAGACCCACATAGGACCATTGTAGAGTTATGGCCTGCTCAGTTGAGTTATCTCTGCAACAATGGTAAGAACAGCAAAGGACGCAACATTGGAACCCTTCACACATACTTCTGCAACCTTAGAACCTGTAGCGCGTCTTTTTACGCGTGTCCTTGTAGTAACTGCAGATATGCAAGCAACTGGATCTACAGGACCTGCAGCCCAATGGTGACCTTGAGACGATCCTTTCACCGAGCAGTGACTTATCTATGTGGCGCTAGTGTGCACAGGTAGATACCACCGGACTCATCCCGGTTCTGAATACCGAGCAGTGCGGCACAGTCCACTCTTCATTAGCGGATAGCCGCTCACCTATTGAACAGTACCACAGCATAGTTCCCATCGTACAGCTGCCGCGACCAGACCTCGGCAGTTTTGTTCTCGCTCTGGTAGATCCTGCGGCCTGGCTTGCCCTGCGGGTCCTGGTTGACTGCGATCACTTCCTCGTTGGTTAGGATGTCCAGTGTGGTCTTTGACATACTCCGCACATCATTACCTGCAATCTACAACCAGAAAAAATACACTGTGAAAACTCCATCCACAAGCGCCAAACACCTATTCGTTGCACGGCATCAGTGACGGCAAAAACGATGTAAGGGGGGAGGGGGGGATATTTATGATCATCGTTTTCTCCTAGGCTTTATTAATATTTTAGAGGCAACAGACTAAAATGGAACAACAAAAACAAGTGAATATGAATGTCATGACATGCTAGCAAGAACCATTTTTCCAAGCAGAATTCCGGCTTTTTGTCCTTGCACTTTGCAGTAGCCCATACCAATAGAGAATGCAATGGGAGGTTAGAAGGAGACACTGCAATAAAATTGACTACACGCGTACATTAGAAAACATCAAACTTTTAACTAATATGTCAACTAAAGTTCCACAGCTTAGCTTGAGCACTGGTCTGATAGCTGCCACCGTGACTGTCTCTCAATGTCCTCTCAAAGCTATGCTGCGCTTAGAATTGGGACTGCTAACGTTAAAATATCTAAGCTAGCCTGCAACCTTTTCTTACACTCCGAAGAGAGGACTACGTGAATGCATGAGTAGCATAGAATCAGTGATGCAGGTGCAGACCTCTCCATACACCAGGCATGACAGAGCCACAGGCCTTGTAGAACAGTACCTGCAAAGCGACTCGCATAGCATTGTTGTTGTAGCACCAGGATTTCAGGCGATCCAGCCAAACGGAGACACATAACCGGAAGATTGCGGAAATGCACAATATTTTTTTCAACCAGGGACTGTCTATTTTCCAAACCTAGGCCTGCATGATGGGCATGCTTGAACTGGGTGGGCGACTTTTTCAAAACCAGGCCTGGCCATGGCCTAACCAGGTGCTACGACACTCCACTGTATTGGGTGTGTGTGGGGGGGGGGGGGGGGGGGTGCTGCTGACATTACAGGCAAGACATTGTGACAATACCTGGCAAGTTCTGCTGAGATCATGATGTACCTGAATTTGTAAATTTCTGACGAAGGCAACAAGAGCACGCCCGGTGCACCATATATACATCATCCAGGACAGGGAGTCTAACCCCTGGTCTCCTGCTGTATGTAGCTACAGTGAAACAATTCCAGAGTCTAACTGGGTGCTGCAGATGAGCATGCACTCACCAGCGGTGCTGCAATCATTGCCCAGAGAGAGAAATGGCTGATGTCCTCCGCCGTTGTCATGCCATTTCCAACTTCCATGATATCCGGCATGATGTAGTGCCCTGGACCGGCGTATCTCATGCTGTCAAACTGGATATTAGACTCCAAGATACATGTCCAACTGTGCCACGTAGGGTTGATATCGCCAAGCTGATCTGACTCGGGAAACACTGCATATAGAAGAAAAATATAAAAAACAGTCTACCTAAATATGATCATCTAAAACCCGCCTTGTGTGAGAGATTTCTTTATTATTACTTCGAACTATAATTATAATTTTTATTATACACAAGCGGAAAAACCGTCAGAGATCAAATTCCATTACACAGTGTTTCACCGTTCAAGCACCGGATCATCAGATGGATCCATCTGATGATCCGTTGCTTGAACGGTGAAACACTGTGTAATGGAATTTGATCTCTGACGGTTTTTCCGCTTGTGTGTGATGAAGCTCTGCCTCGCTTGCATTGAGCACTCTCCGCAGTTTGAGACCATTCCCTTGTGTAATTTTTATTATGTGGCGACACACAATAAAGCTGGGCTCGATGCTTGGAGTGGATGAGGACATAGGCAGACGAAAGCGGTTGGCTACAAGCGCACTTCACTGGATGTGGGTGATATGGCTGAGAGGGCAACACATCAGAGAGTCTCTACGAGTGCGCCTCTATAATAGCTTCATTCTACCAATCCTGCTTTATAACTGTGGCACGTGGAGTCTCACGGGGACACAGGAGCGGAAATTGGACTCGTTCCACAGGCAGCAGCTGCGAACAGTGATAGGCATTAAATACCCGCTCATAATAAAGAACACTTCCCTGTATAAACGCACAGAATCTCGCCCCGTGAGCCAAATCATCAGAGATGCTAGATGGAGGCTGTTTGGTCATGTGCTGCGTTTGGAAGAGGCAGCCCCAGCTAGACGTGCCATGGGAGCTTACTTCTTAGGGGGTAACGGCCCCAGCTTTGGGGGACGCCCAAGAACAACGCTCCCGCGAACGCTCAATAATGATCTCAAAAAGCTGAAAAATAATACCGCCCTAGAGACTGGCGATGACTTGAACATGCTGCAGCAGCTTGCCCAAGACCGTCGACAGTGGCGGGAACTGGTGAAGGCTGTACACGGCTGTTAGCTGCACTTGGATCGCGGCAACTTAGTTTTCTGCACGTGAACCATGAAAAATCAATGCATGCTCATGCATGTTCATGCATAACCAGTCATATCAAAAAGTATTCTTTCTAGACCAAAGAGTGGTATATTTGATAACATTTAATAACGATAGAAATTTTTTTACGATACTTCTCCAGACGTTTCGTTGTTCTGAACAACATCGTCAGTGGATAAAGAATCTTTATCCACTGACGATGTTGTTCAGAACAACGAAACGTCTGGAGAAGTATCGTAAAAAAATTTCTATCGTTATTAAATGTTATCAAATATACCACTCTTTGGTCTAGAAAGAATACTTTTTGATATTACAATGAGAGTGAATAATCAACGGCTTGTCCACCAACTCATAACCAGTCAGCTGGCCTGCTCGCCCACGCATTTGACAGGTAACAATTCCATCAAATTTGAGATATCGCTTCGTTCTAAGTCTCAAAACAGTTCTAAAGTCACCAAACCACGCTGGTAATCGATGGCTATTCAATGTTAACATCTTCAGGAAGACTTCAGCCGTTTCCCGAGAGTTTGGGCATCGTTGCCGTTATTTTTCACGGTGTTCTTCTTCGTCCTGTCTGGAGTTGCAATTGCATCCTGGAATTATTTGAAAGGTATTTCGTGCGGGCTGTGGGGGGTTCCAACAGGCATAAACTGACATCGCTATAGGATAACTGGTAACTTTCACCCTTCAAGGAGGTAGAGCAATGAGAATTTTTTTGTGGCGGTCGTCCAATTTTTGTGGCGGTCGTGGCTGTATTTGTGCACTTCCAAGGCTTTCATTCTGCCTGATACTACTCTGTACTGTATGGGAATCGTTGTTTAGGCACATGTAGCTGTCTTATTTGGTAGATCTGCTGTTTTCAATCACTTCGGACACTTTGTCTAGCCTATTTGTCTTTCGTTCGTGCCATCTATCAGTTTTGTGGGGTGCATTGACCTGTATTTGTGAAGTTCTCGAGTAAAGACCCTAATTCTTGACTGGAGTCACGTCTTGAATTGAATTTGCTGGGTGAGCCCTCGTTCACGCAGTTGTACTTATCGTAATAGTCAATATCTGCTTGCTGGACGGACTAGCGGCTAGAATAGGGATGACCAAATGGTCCAAGTGTGTACTAGTACACGATTATTGTTTCCATCATCGTGAAATGAGCGTTGTGGAATTGCAGTCGTCTGCCTTTGGCACTGAGGACACGAGGAGAGTTGATTGTTACTTCTGCTCAGCAATGAAGCGATCATCAGCTCTCTTTGTTCTAATTATTGAGAGGACATACCGGCATCGCAATCAAGTAAAGATTAGGCAAACCTCGCCAACCTCCAAAGAGAGTCGAAGATATTTTCTCCAAATGCAAAGACTTTTGTGACTTGCATTTGCGTGCATACATGAGCAAGTCACGGACCACGGCACGTGCGCGGTTACCATGCCATCTCGAACCGACGCCATCTTTCTAAGTTGCCGCTTCTTGACAGCCGTGTGTATGTAGCTGCTAATGAAACAATGGACATAATTTATACCTTTATATATAGATAATGGAGATGACTGCAACAGGCTGCAGCAGCTCGCCCAGGATCGCCCTCAGTGGCAGGACCTGGTGAAGGTTGTATGTAGCCGCTAATGCAACAATGGACATAACTTTGCGTTTCCATCTTGTCTTTTTTGTGATTGTGATTGTTTAGAAGAGTATCTCTTTGTCGTTGTTACTATAATCGAGTGGCACATTCGCACTACAATTCTACGAGTGCTAGTTTGAAATTACTTTATGAATTTGAGCAATTGTTACGTTGTACAGCAGGTACGAACAATTAATATTTACATACTCACCGGTTTTCGTTTCGGAGTCCCGCGCTGTGACTCAGCTAATTTCTATTTCGTTTGCCTTGTATTTGTCTGACTAGGGGCGCTGTCACCCCGTCGGGTGCGAGCACCCTTGGACAGAAGCACTTCACGACACAAGTGTTCATTTTCGTTTTTTCCTCTTCTGCTTCTTCACAGTTTGAATGTGTGCCTTTTTCGTACTCTGCTCTCGATCGAACCATGCGCGGGTCGATCTCCATAATTTTATCTTCCGTTGCCATGACTGGCATTAGTACGCGTTCTGTACTCACTCGCTGCTTGGCACGCTTGCAGCGCGTCTTTTTTCTGTTGCAACCCAGTGCCTGCGTGCACGGTACGGGATTTGCGAAGCCACATCAGCGTTGGTGTGTCGTTGTGCTTCGTTGTTGTTTTGTTCTTGGCTGAGTGTGGTCGTTAAAACTGAGAAAGAACGGGTCGTTGACAAGGCGTGGTTTCGATGTGCATGCCCTCCTGTCAACTCCAAACTATTGGTAGCAGAGGATGGTTATCACGGAGCCATCATGGAGGTAAAACTAGAAGACCTCGCACGGAAAAAGCGAGAGCTGAAAACGGATTTCACAAATACGAGGAGAAATTTGACAGTGGAGTCAACGAATGAGGTGCCGAACCAAGATGACGTAAAGGCATGGAGAAGCCACTTGACGACAGTGTATGACGAGACCAAGAAGGTCATCATGGAGTACATGGAAGCGGTGGTGGACACTGACTCTAGGAGACATGCTGGTCTCCAGAAGCAGTACAAGCAGCTGGAAGGCCAGTATTCCGATGCCATGGAATAGACCAATCCCGAAAAGATTGTCTGGGTTCGAAAGGGGGCATGTCAACTGAGAGTACACTGTACAACACATACATGGCACTACCTGATCAGCATGCGGCACAGGACGTGTTTGATAGTTCGCGTGTGAATGCGAGGGTAAGTACACTCGGACGTCTCTTATCCGGGCACCTTGGGACCGGGCACTGCCCGTATCTCAGATTTGCCCGTATCTCAGAATAACTCATCTACCATGTATCATATCATTTTTTGAAGAAGTTTATTTGGAACGTATTGCACATGTTCAGGATACAAAAGGAACCCATTGGTAAAAATGTGTGGATTACATAGGTTGGCAGTGAAAAATAAGCACTTCCGAATACGGAAAAAGTTCAAAACCCCCAAATTCAAAGCATTTTTGCCATAGGAACTCAAGCTAAAGGTGCCCGGTAGAGAGACGTGCCCGTGTCTGAGGCGTCCGGATAAGAGGCGTTTGAGTGTACACGGTTTTCTCGTTAGTTGCATGCTAGAGAGACGATGCGACAGAAAGCAAAGCCCTTTGTAGTTTTCTCTCTCGCACTGGTAATGGTCTGCTGTTGGAGTTGAAATGCTAAGACATAATCCTTGTTACGCTTTTCTGTGTAGTGTGAAGAGGTCAACGAACATGTAGAGCTCACTTTGATGAAGTAGGCAAGGCTGTGAGCGCTGTGGCTCAAAGCGATAGGCCCTAAATCTTACGAGATGTTTCGAGTGCTATTGTTTGTTGCGAGCGCTTCGTCTTCGATGAGTCCTGCCTCTTTCCTGGCAGCTGCCCTCCTATAGGACCAACCACGAAGTGACTGTACCCATCTGCAGCCGATCAATGTTATATTGCACAAGAAGATATCGTTTTCGCCAAGCCAGTGCCCCGCCAAAGACCATCGCCGTGTCACACCGTCGGAACGAGTTCATGATGAGAAACATCATTCGCGCGAGCTTGATGAAGAACTATTTCGAAAGACAACATAGTCTTTACCCCCGGGACGACAACTATGCGCACGTCCTGCAAGGGGAGAATGTTACCAGCGACATCAAAGACGACGACGGCAGTATTTCGGAAACCTGGAGTCAGCGGAGGTCGTCAAGCTCCTTCGCGACCCGGTACATGTACAATAGGTGACATGTCGACACGAGCGTGCGGAAACACTGCATACACTGTAGTAATGTTGCGAGAGTTTGCGGAAAGAGTCCAAGTCGGGAAATCCATCAGCTCCAAAAGCTACCTGTAGGTGGGCGATGAGACTCCAGCTTCAGACTACAACAGTCAGGACTTGTAAATAGTTGAACTTTGTGAAGCAGCAGATCGAGAAGTAAGTTAGCTGAAATCGTGGCTGTTGCAGTATGTCGGCGCTATGTAGCTTGC